ATAATTATTTTACTCGAGTAATTTAACTATGAAAGAAAAGAATAATAGAATAAAAGGAATAACCGTTTTATCTTAGTGACAAGAACTCATGCTAAAAAGAGAAAACTATTACATATTACATACTGCTGTAGACATTCATTTTCATAGATGTATTGTAGTATATACAACAATAAACGGTATATCGCCGTGTTTTAATCTGACGAAAGTTGAAAATGCGGGATATATATACAAAAAACCGATATTTTGGAGTTCGTTATAAAAGTATAATTTTCTGCACTTTTTACTAAATTGGGACTAAGAATTGAGTTCCTTATAACCGATAATTCCTAATAACCGTGTTCGCTATAACCGTATATTTTTATATTAAATAGAGAAGGGCAAAATTCGGGCCAAAAGTAATTGTTCCTTATAACCGGAAGTTCGCTATAACCGTGTTCGCTATTAGTGAAGTATACTGTAATAATAATAACTTTTAACCAACAGGAGTTTTGTCAACGGTGACAGAGAAACGAAAAAGCTTAATATATGATGTGTATATATAGCGGATATATCCAATACAGCTTATATTTCTACTGCAAAAATATATATAGAACCTTCAAGAACAAAACGCTGCATTGAATACAAAATTAATTAATCAATTTTGTTTTGTTTTTAAAAGGGTATATTTCTTACAAAACTGTGATTGAATGGCATTTAAATGAATGGAAAAATTTTATTCGTCATAGTAAAATTGTATATTTTTATAAAAGTTCTCTATATTTTATGATGATATATTATAGTTACCAGAAGGTGAGTATGAATTTGAACAAAAGCAAGAGTATGTCTTTTGCCTAAACTGGTGCTGGGGTGGGGGGAGACGGTAGCCTGCACTTACCACAACAGTCCATGAACTTTCAAGTCTGCCATATAAGGCTACATTCAGGGTTTTGTCTTTTGACTATTTGGAATTACATAAAGCAATACAATTCCCCTTGTGGCTGAGGGGTTGCCTTTACGGATTGAGATATCAGAATTGCAGCAACCGGTTAACCCAGCGTGATCGTAATTTAAGGCGACTAAATAAACAAATATTATAAAACTAAGACGTGTGTCCAAGTGTTGAAAACTAGGCTTCAGCAGGTTATCTATTTCACACTTAAATTGGCTTTATTACTTCTAACAGGTCATTCCCACTCTTGACAATGTACCATTAATGTTAGACAAATTGTAGTTTGAGACTGATTGGGTCAGACTTAGTTGACATCAAAATGATACTTTATATACTTGACCTGTTTGATATCTTGTGATTTTCACGTCCAGCATTTGAAATATTAAGATAATAATTCATAAACGTACAAAATGAATAGGAAAGATATCTGTACTATTTTTAAGAAAACAACTTTGTAAATGTATGAAACAAACAAAACGAACTTAAAAAATAATAAAATAAAAATATTGTGGACCTATTTAATGTAATTGAATTCAAAAGACAAACCACGGCTTTTATAACGTAATTACATGCATAGCCATGGAAAAGCAAACCATCAACGTCTTACGATTGCATTTAAATCAGCTTACAATATACAATTTGAATAAGCATTCAAGTTCTACAAAATAACTAGTTTAGAATTAACTATTATTGAGGCTTAATATTCTAGACACGCACGCAAGTATTTCCCTTTTAATACTTGAAATGAGAACGTTAGCCAAGATACATAGTGATTTGTTCTGCAATCTAATTACCAAGGGATTTTTTCAAATAATTCTACGCAAACATTGTAGAATGAGTAGAAACCTAATGCTTTAAAAATAATTGAATAATGGTGAAGCTATAACTTATATAAAAATCTAATCAATATGCTACGTTATAACATCAAATGCTCATAATTTTGTCTTGGCTTACAATATAATTGCTTAGATCTCTTTACAAATTCTGGAAATGGGAGCTCCCTTAAGAGAAATGAAAAAAAAATACACTGTTGAGAATTGCAGACTTTATTGACTCCATCACTTTTGAGTGTTGAAAATTGAGCACAGCTTTAGCCGGTGATGGATATTGTACATTTTCATTATCCTTCCTGTACAGTCTCAAACCGAGTGTAAAATTTTCATTTAATTTTGTAGTGATCAATGCTTGCGAGAGATCACCCTTTTTCCAGATTTTTATTGCAATAGTAAAAACATCTCTCACGCCGTTAGCGGTGTAAAATATTCTATACTGTATGAGATTCGATTAAAAAAACAACAAATAATGGTAGCGAAATTTCAGACCCTGATGTGCTTATTTGCAAAATCCGAAAGTAGTCCATCACGAATTCCTCGAAGCGGTTACATACCTTAATAAGTACACTAACTCCGAAAAATTAAGGGCAGATCACTTCGTTATGGTTTGCTTCAGACATATTTCTTATAACTTCCCGGTTTCACGCTCGCTTCAGGAGCGAGATGCCTGGGGTTCGAATCCCAGATAAGGCAACACTTTTTTCTTCTTTTTTTAATGTTTAAGCCAAATAAACATTGAATTGAATATCAGTGTTGCAATTGGCCTTTTTGCCTGTTTACTACAGTAATAACACTGTAAACAGCATTGCTGACACTATACAAAATCAAATTGGTTTATAATCTCACAACCTTCACCTTTTTGACATTCTGAGACTCAGACAAATTCAGCGCCTTCTGTGCTTTGATTTTCTATCGTCATAAACATACATTTACAAATCATTGTCTACAAGTTAATTAGCTATTGGTCCTACAATTTCTTTACCATATTTCATTTATATGTGTAGACATTCCAGTAACTAAAAGAAAGATATAATCTAAGAATTCATTTCTACGTACTGTTATATTGAATAGAAATGTAAATGTCAAGTAACTTACATTTTGCATAATATTGATAACATGCAATGGTTCAGTAACAATTATAATATGATAATAAATGCATTAGTTAAAGAGGAAAAATGGAAACTCTTTTACTGGCTTAGCAAAGCAAAATGATGTGTGGAATGGTTCCTTAAGACGTCAACATACCGGTAATTGATAATGTACGCTAAATAAGAAATACAAGACCAGACGCTATTAGTATACAATCCTTTTTATGGGATTGGTTTATTTTTAAATTTTGTCAGCAAGAATTTTAATTGGTTTTGACAATTTGTATACATCCAAGCTTTTCCAATGAAAAATTATGGAAAATGGTTGATCCCTCGGAAGAAAAGAAAACAGTTACATGAAAATTGCAGAATATGTTTGATTGAATCTGCTTTTGTGTCTCATACCCTGTAGCACCAGTTTTAGCGGTGTTCATTCTTGAACATTAAGGTGCTGGAATCAATGATCCCGTAGTACCAGCAAAAATATAACAGCACTGAAATGAAGTACAGGGAACTTTTAACAGCACTTGACACTTGCTTGCAATATAAAAATCTTGAAATGGGGTGGAAAGGAAAAAAGTCAAACCAAGTATGCACGTACGAAAAGCCAAGGAAACTAAAAATGATCATAAATCATAAACTTTGTTTTAATGTCTCTTAGAAACTTGTAATCTGGTCAATCTAATTTGGTGCACTGGCCTTTTGAGTTTAGAGCAAAGACGAATATGAAAAATTGTTGTTGTTTTTCTGTGAATATTAAATTGAATAAAATTTTATCTTAGGCATTTTAAGATGACAAATTTCTTTTTTTTGACATTATGCTCTTTTATCTGGTTAAGCTGCACTAAATCGTTATAATGAAAGACCGTGAAAATATCTAAATATGGACTTTTTCACGATTATATCCAAGTATTCTTAAAAATACATTTTTACGAGTATAATAAATGTATGTACGCTATTGTATTTCTTGTATTTCCTGAATATATCGTTTACTTTTTTCATCTCAGAGGAGATTGCAAAATCTGCATTTTCAGGACGCTGATAGCAATTACTACATCTTGCCATTATGTTTTGTGATAGTTTCAAATATTATATTATTACTGAACTGACGGAATATTTATTTTTATTTTCCTTTGTTTGAATATTTCATAATATCAAGTCTGTAGTCTTGTTAGAAAAAGTAAATAAGTCTTACTGTCTCTGCCAAAATTAAAGTCTTGTATAATTGATTTATATTTATAAGATTATCATCTACTATTGTGCGAGTCTATACTGAAAAAAAAGCATTAAAATAGGCACTATGTTTTCTAAAAATAACAACTAACATGGGTTAAACATTTCTTAAATCAGATTATTGTACATGTACAGTGTACACACATTCTATGCCACAAATTATCCATTATACAAATACAGTGTGTTGCTACATTCAATGACTTAAATTTACCGAAGTGTGTTTTTTGTTTTATGTTTTGTTTTATATTTTTTGCTCAAAAGGGAGCTTCCATTTCCATAATTTGTCTGTAAAAAAGATCAAAGCAATTATATTGTAAGCCAAGACAAAATCATGAGCGTTTAATGTTATAACGTAGCATATTGATTACATTGTTTTATATCAGTTATGACATTATTTAAGGCATTAGGTTGCTACTCATACTACAAGATTTGCGTAGAATTCTTTAGAAAAAAAAATCCCTTGGTAACTGGATTTCAGAACAAATCACTATGTATCTTGGCTAACGTACTTGACCTTTTACAATGTACAAGTATTCAGTGAAAGTTACTAACGTACGTGTCTAGTATATAAAGCTTCAATAATAGTTAATTCTAAACTAGTTTATCTGTAGAACAGAGTATGTATTCAAAATGTGTATTGTAAGCTGATTTTATCATTATTTTTTTCAATCGTAATATGGTGATGGTTCGCTTTACCACGGCTATACATGTAATGCTGTGCTTTTTCTTTTGGTTTAAACATTTAAACATATTTATTCGATATATTTATTATGCATGATGAACAATATTTACCCAAAACATTTTGGGATTAGGCAGAAAGCTATGCAAGCTTATGATTGTCCTTCCCCCAGTTATAACAGTTTACAAAAACATATTTCATGGCATTATCATTCAAAACGTTCGTTCAGTTAAAAAATATATTAAAGGCATTTACAGAGAAATGAGTTATTTTGCAATTAACATAAATTAGTGCCTTGCTACAATAAATGGCTAAATTTACCGAAGTAATTGCAATAATCGTCATTTGCATGAGCTACACGATGCTTACTTTGAATTTTCTAAACATATGATGTAGATATTACATGTTGCGATACCTGCCGTTGTTGCGGTTATCATTGCCTATATGTAACGCTCCCTTGAACATTTCTGTTGCTGTGGCAGCCGAGTATCGCTGTGAAGGCAGCTTTGAACTTTGTCGATGTTAAACTATAAATAATAGGATTTCCCGTACTGTTCATATACATCAGGATTCGGACCCAACAAACGAGATTAAGATATGCCTCCAGGCCAAGCTTTATTAGATCCGTCTTCGGTGCAAAGACTCGCCACAGAGAAAATACTCGTATCGGGAAAAGTGATACGAAAAACAACACGATTATTAATATTAACATTTGAATCACCTGTTTCCTTGATTTGATTGTTTTCACAGCTGTCTGATCATTGTGTGCTAAAGAATGTAACTGGTCCGACATCAGTTTTCTGATTATACATGTGTAAAGAGTAATCAAAACAAACAAAGGGACTACAAAGAACACACAAAATATGGTTATTGTGTAACCGTAGTGCCAAGTTTTGTTAACCTTTGTCCGACAAACTTTGATTGGAGATCCGTCATAAAACAAAGCATCTTCATATTGGGTCATGCCCAACAGTGGTAAAGATAAAACTATTCCTACCAGCCAGATAAATGCAATGACCTTGACCGTAGCACAAATTGTCACTGATTTTATTCGGTTCTTTAAAGGGTGGCATAAAGCTTGATAACGTTCAAAGGTTACAGCCAACATCGTCAGTACCGAGACATGTACTACTCCGTTCTCCATCATCGGAACCAATTTACCTGAAGTTATATGAAAATGATTTTAAAACATGTTTATTTATTTAGGCATTAATTTGCAATGGTGCAATATTGTTTTGGCGTATTTTTATAATAAAACCTCAAAAACTTCCAAAACGGCAAAGATGAAAACATGCTGCAGTCTGTTCTGATTAAACCAGTGATATAGGCACGCTACCATTCTTTAAACATTATATCTCAACATGTAAATATAACATGTTTTTTTTTCTTTTATTTAGAATTTCAAAATTATCTCCAGATTTGTTCTTATGGCGGTGATCAACAATCGGCGAATGGTTCACAAGTAAAATAAAGTGTGTCCAAAACGAGAAAACAATGACCGAAACTAAATAAATTCAATTTCGAGAGGGGATTAGGGGTTATGAAGCCTAAATATCGCAGATAAGCTGTCAAAAGACAAACTTATGAAGTAGGTCACATATCCGAAGACTAATTAACTTTCTTCATGTAGGTATACTTGAATCACCAAACAATAAGCAGGTTAAATAAATGAAACTGAAAATACAAAAGACACAAAAAGAATTTTGTCTTCAGTTTTTATTTAGGAATGTAGGCATAACCGAATACTGTTACATAGATTTAAACTTTGCATAATCTTATGATAACAAAAATATTTTTAGTGAAAAATGACTGGCGGTCGCTAATTTTTTTTTAAATATCTACTCTTGAAATTGAGTTGAAATAAATTCTATGAAACGCCCGATCAAGGATCAGAAAAATAAACTATTATCTTTAAAGAATATTTTCGTAGCTTTCATGACTTACAGAGAAACAAAATGGAGGGTGATATTCATAGGTGACACACGAACTCTAAGAGTATATATGTATGTAAACATTTCTTTTCTAATTCAAACAAGGAATGTGTAGAATAAGTGTCATTTAGTTTAAACAAATTTATATTCCGAATATATACATACATAAACATATACAATAATGACATAATTCAAATAATACATTCAAAGAAAACTCTCTTTATTATTTATTTACACCACATTTGGCTTTACTTTATCCAAAAATTTCTAATTACCTCCCTTTATTTACATGAAATGTAAATTCGGTAATATCTTTACAAATAATGCTTTTTGGAACTTACAAATTGATAAATATTCATTTGAGCATCATATTTATGATATAAAACCATAGAAAAATGAGTTACAGGATCTTTTAGTTTCCTGTCAACACAAATGAAGTATTCTGGCGTAGATTGCTTATCACGCGACGTTGACAATATTAAAAGCCTCGGGGAAATATTTATGGGTAATTTGTTCCACTTACGGATGACAAAATAAATAAAACTTAGATATAGCGTAGTTTTGGTGGATATTTAGCTTGCCTTAAAGATAGAGCTCAATATGGAAATGCATTTCCTTATACGACGTCTGCATTTTCGTATCATTTATAAGAATTCATCGTAAAAACACTGTAAAGATTATTTCAAGAAAATTGATAATGTAATGATTTCTTTTTTATTTAGTTTTCACAAGATTTTAACAAGTTTACTTGTAACTGTCAGTTGTTATACAAAAACAAACCCATTTGGTTATGATCATTTACACAAGATATAATTCGGATAAACTTTAAAAGAGTTTGTTGATTTCCTTTTCTTGACTAAGATATAATTTTAAGAAGAAATAGAATTTTTGACGAAGAAAGACAGGTACAATGAGTGAGTTAAGGCGTTAGATAGTATGACTATTGTATTATTGTTTCTCTGATTCTATACCTGACTGTTAATGTTTGGCAGCAATTTGTAAGTTTTTCTAAATAAAAGAGACTTTTACCACTACCATTAAATATTTTGGACAATATCATTAATAAAAATTAGTAAAAGCAGAGGGCCAAGGATCGAGAAATGTGTTACAACAACTGAAAGATGTGAGATTTTGAATTTGAAACAAGAAAATGACGTTTATAGCTTTAGTAGTCCTGAAAACAAACCGTTTTAGATACTCCATTATATTTTAATTTAAGAAGTATTCAGATGTGTCAGACTTTATTGAACCCCTGACTAATGACGAACATTAAAGCCATCATCAAGTGCTTTTCAGAGAGTGTTATAGATGTATAAGCCGATATACAATTGAATCTCCTGAGACGAATCCAGACTGCACACGGATAAGGAGTCTATTCATGTTTACGTGATTAAAAAGATACTTATAAGATTAATAGTTGAAAGACTCTTTCATAAGTCTCATTTAAAGTTGATACAAATGATATCAGGGCCGACCAAGGCAAGCTAAGGAAAACGTATAATAAAACATAACTTAACTTAATTATAATATAATATTAACATTTCGGGCTAGAATAAAATATGAATTTTCTAGCATACGTCAATCAGGTTTGAAATAAAATAACAATAACATAATCTTGAAACGTATTTGAATACTCAATATCAAGATTGTGAAAAATGGAATCCGTACAGAACGCTTATAAAGACAAAACTGAAAATGTTGCAGACTCGGATTGATTGAATCTGTTAATGGATGGTTCTTCAAAGTGCAAGCTACCGTCCACGCACCCTAGTACCGACTTAAGCAGAGTTCAACACTAACACATGAAAATGGTGAAATTTTGAATTAAGAAACATCCACAGGTGTGTTCATACAATGGAATTTTCAGTGTGACACTTTCCTGCCATTCCATAAAAGCGGCGTAAGCTCCCTAGGTAAAAGAGCGTGAAGACAATGGGCTGAACTAAATAAAATGGAATTTTGAAAGGGGGTCAGAGTTTATGACGACCATCGGAACTAACATATATATGTGGGTTTTTTTAACGTAACTTCCTGTGTCTGCATGTGACCACGGCTCTTTGTTACTTTGTTAAAGCACAACTCATATTCTACAATTTTCAACTAATATTTGCCTGCTAGTTCGAACCAACAAAAACATGAAACATAAAAAAACCATTGCCTATGTTTGGTAAAAGAAAGCAGTATGAACTGTTCCGCTATAGTATTACAACTCGGGCATGGCAGGTTTTAAGAAATTGTTTTTGTATGCATTGCTTGCAATGTATACAGAGTTATAAGCTTTATCTCCGCAGTCGTTACAGGTTAAGTCTTTACCGAACAACATCCACTTACGGAAATCAAAGCACAGAAGGAGCTGAATTTGTTTGGATCTCAGAATGTCAGAAAGGTGAAGGTTGTGAGATTATAAACCAATTTGTTTTTGTATAGTGCCACCAATGCTTTCGTGCGTTTTACTTGTAGTAAATTGGCTATAAGATTAATTGCAACACTGATATTTAATCCAATGTTTATTTGACTTAAACAATTTGAAAAAAAAATGAGTTGCCTTAACTGGGATTCGAACTCCAAACCTCTCGCTTCCTAAGCGAGCGCGCAATCCCTCGGCCACGGTTAATCTATATATTAACGGGCTGAAGAAAACCATAATATTCTAAATTAGGGTTTGTAACGACGCTAACTGTTGTTTAACACTTGTGTAAACAATCATGGCGCTTACTAGCATGTATATTTATAAAAAAATAAAACAATATTAGAAATCTTCGACCATTCGGGAATTAATTTGCTTGAAAATTAATGCGCCTTTCATTTGACCATCTTTACGCAGTGATCTCTCCTGAATTTTTCGGCTTTAGTGTACATATAAAGGGAAGTAACCGCTTCAAAAAAGCGGACTACTTTCGGCATTTGCAATTAACAGCATTAGAGTCTGAAATTTCGCTACCATTATTTGTTTGGTCTGACGACCCAAACAAATAAAAAAAAAAACGTTATAGAAACTAGTTCTTCATTCAGCAGTATTGTTACATTCCGACTACACATCATTAAAATATTGTTTGCAAAGTTGTTTTAATGCTTTGAAAGTTCCAAATCGTTCATTTTCATGAAATAATAGACTCTACATTCCTTTAAAGAAAACAAAAAATAACAGTTCATTGATAAAATCGTAGTTTATACCTACGCGCTAAACTTCGCATATACGCATGCGCTTGCTAGCATGAATGAATACATCGTAAATATAGTAAAGTCGTCAGAATTATATAAATGGGACGAAACATCTCAGATAGATATTAAATCAAATAAAATTCCTGATTTACATTCATGCAATAAAATTGGCCTAAAATGTTTTACAAAATGAATATGGAGCTCAGTAAAAAAAATTACCTGCGTATATCGGAAAATGTTTGTTTGTTTTTTGTTTTTTTTTAAAAACCTGGCAATTATCGTGGCTTCGTAAAATAAAAATTTCGTAAGCTATTCTTTTGAATACCTTTTTTACACATGATTTTCCTTTCACTTTTGTATGCCTTAGATTTTTGAAAAGAAATATGTTTCGAAATCTGATATTCGGTACGGGAAAAAATAAAGATTCGGCCACTCGACCATTCGACCCATAACAATTCGTCGAACTTGGGATATTGACGATTAAGCCAGAGCATGGAGCTAAATACGACGATAAGAAATAATCATTTGAAACTAACTGTAAATCAGTGTAAGCATTAAGAAATAAATACATTAAATTTATGTTCAGAAAATAGGAATTATTTTAATCTGCTTATTTTAATGGGTGCATGGAATTGTCAAAAACACCAAAAAATACCGAAAAACACTTAAACTACAAAGAAATATTAACGCTGTGATTAAATTCAGCAATATAAACAATTTTTGATGGTTATTTGATGAATTGGGTTCAATAATATCAGTTTTAAATCGATAATATATCATAAAATACGCTGATGAAAGTGTTCGCTGAGCCTGCGTCGCACATAGAAAAGCCAAAAAAACACATGCCACAGGCATTAAAAAATGCGCCAATTTCCATTTTAATCACTAGAGTAATTGTTTTTCACACTTCGATCGATCAATAAATTTATCAATTGTCAGCATTATATCGAAAAGAAAACACTAAAAAAATGTTTTTGGAAGCTTAAAAAAACATGGATAAGCCGAAAAACACTTTTTACGGCGATACATTTGGTATAAGTCCAACAAAATAAGTTTTATCTACTTTTTTCTCTTTAAATGATTAAAATTTACTTTGTTTTTGCAACCAGTGTAAATTAGAGAATTATTCTATTCTGTATTTAATGTGATATGAAAGTGTTTTTCAGCAACGTAACAGTCTAGCGTCAAAAACATGGAAAAGCCGAAAAACACATTTTAAAGGGCGATAAAATGGTCGTAGTTAAGCAAGAGCCACTATAATTTTTTTTCAACCTTTTAAATGAATAACTATTACATTTTTGTTACCAATGGAAAATGTCAGTTATATCATTTTTATAAATACAGTATGAAAGTGTTTTCGGCTACGTTACGGTCTAGCGTCAAAAACATGGAAAAGCCCCCCCCCCCCCCCCCCCCCAAAAAAAAACAAACAAAAACAAACAAACAAAAAAAAACAAAAAAAAAAAACAACACATTTTACGGGCGATGAAATGGACATATTTAAAATAAGAACTATTATGTAAATTTTTCAACCGTCTAAATGAATGTTTATAACATTATATTTGTTAGCAATGGAAAATATCGGTAATATTTTTGTAATAAACATTGTATGAAAGTGTTTTTCGGCTATGTTAATGCTAAGCGTAAAAAACAAAACAAAAAACAAAAAAAACAACAAACAAACAATACATTTTACTTGCGATAAAATAGATATATTTAAAAAAGTGCTGCTGAATACATTTTTCAACCGTTTAAATGAATAACTATTACATAAATTTTATAACCTTTGTAAAATGTCAGTTATTTTTTGTAATAAATACAGTATGAAAAACTTGTGGTTTTTTTTCGGCTATGTAACGGTCAGCGTTAAAAACATGGGAAAGCCGAAAACCACATTGGACGAGCGATAAGAAAGGTATATAAATAAAAATACCCATAAAATTAGACTTTTCAATCGTTTAAATAATTCACTTTTACTTTTTATTTGTTTATAGTAAAAAATAATCTAGTAGTCGTTTTATATTTATATGCTATGTGAACTTGTGTAGTTTCAATAGAGTAAAGAACATATATAGAAAAGCAATAATTTATTGCTGATATAATGGCAACACATCATCTAAATCATTATTCATTTTTATTATCTTATTATTCATTTTAGTGGTGAAACTTATAGGTTAGCTCAGGGTGGGGTTTTAGAATTGTTGAATGTCGGTCATCCAACTGTGGTCTGTCCACATTTAGCATCGTCGGATACCCACGACCGAACCATTTACATTTATCAGTTATGTTATGTTAAATGTGTATCCGACGAAGACATTTAGTTGTTAACACTCTACTGGACATTTAGTTTGTCAGAACTCTACTGGTCACACTTTTGCCCCAATTGTCACACAACATCGTAAGAATGTGTGTGACAGGTTTTGCTCGAGTTTGAACATGGATCACCTTGGTTTAAAATCAGAAGTATGTCACAGTAGCCAAAAAATAGAAAAAATGTTTTGGCTCAATATTGTGAATGGTTCATCTAAAGTTAAGAAGTTGGTTTCACAGCCTGATTATGGAAAAAAACTTGTTAACTTGCTGTCCAATATAAATGAATTTCTTGGAAAGGTTGTTTATGAAGACTATATGTAACAATTATTGAATAATGAAAATATTACAGTACATTTGAATTGTTTTGATTATAGATTTCATTTTTATTAATAAACGATAAAGTAATGCATTTGAAAATTAATGTGTAGAGATGAATACAACACACCAGAATATATGTATTAATGCATCAAAGTACAGTACATAGATCTGTAACATGGAAAGCTATACAAAAGGATGTACTATAATTTGGTAATTAAGTCTTGTAGGATGATTCAATTAATTGACTTTGCATAGAGTTCAAGTCAGGTCATAGATAGCATCACTGAAGGCTCAATATTACTGTTTCAATATTCTATGCTGCAGTCCATTTAACGGGTGTTTCAAAAAATGATTTCTTTATTGCTCATCTATCAGCTTGCCTAGCAATACACAGATGGAACATCACATCTTCCTTGTCCCATGAGTAACTTTGGAAGAAAAAAGCCTTGGTGTTGAGAATTGAGTACCGCTCAAGCCGGTTCTAGGGGGCGTGAGGGATGTTGCACTTATTCATTATCTCTCATGTACAGACTCAATCAAACCGAGTCTGCAATTCTTATGTAATTTTGTTGTGATTAATGCTTTTGAGGGAACACTTTGTTTCCAGAATTTGGTGTGAGTCACTTGTTAGGGACATTGACTTTGGTCAGAAGGTGACCCCTATTGTTTTTTAGGTCATTTGGTTAAAATCAACATGGCCTTGATGACAAAATGGCTTATATTATCAAGCAATGTATACTTCAGTACTTTCAGTGCTTTGATTTTATCTAAATCTGCAATGACTTTATTTATAAAGTTAATACGTAAAGAGGTTTCCCTTTTCCGTGATTTTTATGCGAGAAAACAGAGGAAATTCAATGTTACTCAAATCACGAAGACTTTGTTATTCTTTACTTATATAATGTGTAACACTGATATGTGACGTCTCCCGGGATATTCCTATGGGGAATTTGTTAATAATATAGTATCAACATTTACATGTCTTGACCAAATAATAAGAAATTTAGAGAGAAGAAAGCCATCATTGAGATGAATAATTGACACCTTACAAGATTTCAGACCTAAAGACAAAGGATGATTTCTATAATCATAGGACGATGGCCGCAATAACTAAGTTTTCACATATTTGCACCTGATGCAAAACCAATTTTTGATTTGGATAAAATCTAAGCCTTTTGTAATGTAGATTAAATCTAAAGTATTAAGCGACATTAATGCTGAAAACGAGTCAGAAAATACTTCCCAAATAAAATGTAATTTGAAATTTCGGATGACGTTTGACATTCTTCAAAAAGTTCAATTCAATGTCGATCCCTTGCTATTACATGTTAAATCATTATTCGTAAAGAAATAAGTCTTAATAAACTTTTTAACAATTGTCACACTTTCCGTTATTTGACAAATGTAAATTGTATTTGCTTTTTAAAGATTGATTTTTTTTTAAATAAAGGATGGCTATATAACCGAGTGTTTTTATCTGTAGAGACATATCTTCTTGTACTTTTACTTTAGGGGAAACGATAAAACGATAAAATTTCAGGAATCTCGAAGATAATCTTGTCAATTTCCATTGTTTTACTAAAATTAATTAATGTCGGACTAAGACCACATAAAATTTATATCTCCATAATATTAAATTTCATAAGAATATAAACTAAATCATCGTTATCTTTCTTTGAGTCTATATTCCTTTTCTTTGCAATAACTAATTTCATTAATTACAAACAATAATGTTCTTGAGTTACTTTTCAGGTCTTTCGGGGTCATTACTTTTAATAAAATTAATACTTTTAGTGTTGAGGATTGAAAACCCTTGAGCCGGTGCCGGGGGCGTGGGGGATGTTGCACATTCTGTTATCCCTCATAAACCGATGGAATAAAACTTAGTCTGCGATTTTTAAGTAATTGTTTTTGTTTTCATTTCTCTCGGAGATTATAACCTTCGCAAAATTTTGATATGTCAATATGTCAATTTAAATTTCAGACTGTGTTGTGACAATGGAATAATGTTTGATATAATAGGAATAAGAAAGACTGAACATCAATCAGTTACTATTAACGCCCACAAACAATATATAATTATCGGATAGTTACATATAATCTTAAATTTGAAGTCCGAAAAATATCCTTCGGTTTTTTGTTGTTGTTTTTTTTTGTGTGTGTTGTTGTTGTTTTTGTTCATCGCTTCCAACTTTTTTTAAAATTGAAATTGAAATACGCGGTATCTTTGTTGCTTCACAAGGGAAAGGGGATCAGTTTAAATGTACACATACATAACATTGCATTCATACGCCAACACATTTTGCTTTCGAATGAAGAAAAGGTAATGTCATATATGGTAAAGTTCGTAAATACATGTAAATGGAATTCATTCGTGATTCGATTTAAAGATTTTTGTTAAAAAAATATTGTTCTATTTTAATTTTACTGTAAAAAAATGATAAATATATATAAAAACTTACACATGACTTCTCCAAGAAACCATCTGTCTTTTCCAAAGAATTCCAAGAGAGCTGCCGGTTGACAAACAAGCAACACTAAAACATCAGCTGCACTTAAATTAAGCAAGTACACATTTGTTGGTGTCCGCATATTCCTCACTTTAATTATTACTACAATCACTAAAATATTACCAGCAATCCCGACAATAAATATGACGGCGTTACAAAACGACGTTATGAAATATATGTATGATGGAATTTCCATCTCTTTACTAATTATCTTATACTAGTATATCTCTATACGATTGATATACCAAATTATCAATAACATGATGCTTCTTCCTTAATTGTTATTTTTTTAATACTAGTATTCATAAATTGATTAAATTAATATAACTTCTCTTTCATAAATTATCACTGTAAAAACACCATTGCATTATCTAAATAGAATTGCTTGCTTTTCTAAATAATAATAATTACTTTTAACCAAAAGGAGTTTTGTCAACGGTGACAGAGAAACAAAAAAGCTTGATATATGATGTGTATATATATAGCGGATATATCCAATACACCTTATATTTCTACTGCAAAAATATATATAGAACCTCCAAGAACAAAACGCTGCATTACACACACAATTAATTAATCAATTTCGTCTTTTTAAGTTTTTTTTAAAGGGTATATTTCTTGCAAAACTGTGATTGAATGGCATTTAAATGAATGAAACATTTTCATTCGTCATAATAAAATGGTATATTTTTATAAGAGCACTTTATATTATGATGATATATTATAGTTACCAGAAGGTGAGTATGAATTTGAACAAAAGCAAGAGTATGTCTTTTGCCTTAACCGGTGCAGGGTAGGGGGAGACGGTAGCCTGCATTTACCACTGCAGTCCATGAACAGTCTAATCAACATTTTCAAGTTTGCCATATAAGGCTACATTCAAGGTTTTCTCTTTTGACTTTTTGGAATTACATAAAGTAATGCAATTCCCCTTGTGGCTAAGGGGTTGCCTTTACGGGTTAAGGCATTAGAATTGCAATAACCATTTAACACAGCGTGATCGTCAAAGGCAACTAAATGGGTCCGCATTATTGGAGTCTATTCATCGCTTAGCCCCAGGAGGTGGGATTGTTATTAATCCCTGGTGTTGCTAAATGTTTGTAACACCCGAGGTTAACCAAAACCTTGCCTGTTTCGGCGCCATATGACTATGGTAATAGTTTATCAAACACGTGATCAGATTTACCCTGAATGAACTAATAAAGCTCAATATCTTCTACGACAGACAATACGTGCTCTCTGTTTTTGCAAGTTTGACAGTAACAGTTACTATAATATTTTCTCTAGGGAAAACTAATTGTTAATAAAGCGTTATCATCTTGGAACAAAATAAAACATGCTAGTTATCATGCAGCTCCCTGGTCTGTATGTCAGATAAATATATTTTATAGACAATCAACATAAGTATGATTTCCTTTGGAAATATATGAATTACAAAATAACATATTTGATTAAATTGAACTTTGGTAATATCATCATTAATCATGTATTATTAAAATAGTTTTTTTTTAATTTTAAACTAGTTCATGAATTAAAGGAACTCCACTGAGGTCAAAAAGTCTAAAAAATAAATTTTTGAACTTCTTGTATAGATGAGCTGGGGCACTAAAATAAAACAGATGGATATGTAAAACATAATTAAGAAAAATATTCAAAAATATATTGAAAACCATATTTTGTGTTATTCATAGCACATTGAGAGTTAAAAGCTTTACAACGCTTATCAAGGTATTTATCTCAATTAAAATAATTATCCTGGAAAGACGGACTGAGCGAATGATCTGAAAATTTGCACAAAGTTATTGGTCTACACCTCCTACTTCAAATGGAGAATCAATCTCGAAAAAAAAATATTTCCTGTCCCTTCATGTCAGAAAACCTCTGTGGTATTCCCTTAATGACAATATTTCTAGACTATTTGTGAAATTTAAAAGAGTGATAAGTTGTTTCATGTCTACATAATGTATACAATCAAAGTTGTTCAAGTCACAGCAATGTCCACTCTTTGGGATGATATGAAAAAGAAAAAAATAAAAAAAAGCACCCCATTATATTTTTAACAATCTCTTCAATGAGAATTTACATTAACGAAGCATAGAAGTTTATGTTCTCAATCCACACGAGTTTATAAATACAGATGAGATACATTAAAGATACATTTAAAGAAACTTCTTATTTACTGATGAATGGCTTATCAAAATGAGCCATCTAAAAAGATCTTTGACTTTATGGCAGATATGAAATCGCCGCCGAAGCTAAACGTTTATGCAATGCGAACATTAATATTAGCAAAACCTGCATCTTAGACCATCGCCATTTGTTATACAAATTTCTGTAAATGTGAGCCTCTAAGCTGCTGCATGTACATATCCGCAACGAAATGGGACTAATTTGACGCTCATGGTGGCTTCCGTCAGCAGAAAATGGTTATTTTCTCGTAAAAAAGTAGAATGCTCACATCTGGAAAACTTATTTCATGAGCCAGCGCCGTGTTCCTTATATTTCCATAAAGGGAGCCGTCGTTTTATTCTATGACCAAATCAACAACGAAATCGGACAAGCTTAGTTGACCTTGGTTGATTCAGGATAAGCACTTACCAATGGGTAAAAACACTTTGCTCCGAAAAAAAATACGTTTAAGTGTACTAGCGGACAATATCGCGGGTTGTATTGGGCTTGGAGAGGTAAATAATTATGCAATGCGGGCAACAAGTAATTCTTTTCTTGTCGTGTGCCTGATATTGTCGTAGATGGCAGCCTTCGAGCAGTTGCATGAGCTAATCCGCAACGAAACTGGACAATTGGACGGCTTACTGTGGGCTGTGGAAAATGTTATTTTAATAAATATAATTATATTTAGATAGAGCTACTATCATAAACAGCCGCACGGAGTTTCATCTTTGAATTGCGTTCATGTTTCTTTGCAAACTCCATATACCGGTACATTATATTGCTGTGACAGAGAGTCTTCATACATTGCATGAGTCACTATGCATGCAGTGGGCGCCGGAAAAGGTATATTTGTATGTACTATTTGTACTAGGTAACAAAGTATTATTGTATTATAACGGGCAAACACCAATGAAATGAGGGAATTTATTTGGCGACACTGTTTGTTTGTCCAGAGCAATATTCCTTATGTTGTCGTACATGTGAGCTTCCAAGCTATGTTTGATTCTACGCCTATTTTTACACATTTCTTGTCATATCCCGGCAGTCGCTATACTTAACCGACTTTTCCTTATAATAAGCCCGTGCTACCTATTTCTCTGAAAGTCACAGGCTAATAATCAAACATGAGTTTTGAATCAGTGCTGAGAGACAAATAACCATTAGTCTCTATCTTTGAGATCAATAGCCGTGGAGAAATTTCTCATTGCCCGAGGATTAGACCGAATTACAAATCCAATTTTCAGTGTGTAGACTTCCAAACTATTGCATGAGGTGATATAAAAAGAAAATCAAATCAATATGTAGGTGATATTGGGTTCATTAAATAGTGTATTTTTATGGACATATACATGTGTATATCTCCGCGCGGGCTAAAACGCATATGCCACCCGAACATCTAGCAACTTTGATTTTTAAGCCTTCATGCGCCTTATATGTGCGTGAAGAAAAAATCCATGATATTTCAGGAGTTCAATCAGAAATTTATAACTAGTGTAATAACTTTTAGTCATACTGTACGGCATTATAAGGCAAAGGGCGCTAACTCTAACAAACGTGGCCAACATGCCGCGTTTATAGGCATTTTAGCTTGCTAGGCAATTTCTTCTGCTAGTACTGTATATCAGTTCTAACATTACTTTTTGTACTTTCGGGTTCTAAAAACATAATAGTAAATATATAATAATGTACTATTTACTTGTTTATCTATGAATTTACTTAATTGAAGTGGACCTGTAATGAATATAAACTAACTCTACAAATCACAGTCTTTACTCTTTACATACTATAAATTTACATGTTTAGTATTTTAGCTAGGTCAGACAAAACAATTGTTGACATTCTGTACGTGGTTCGATAACTAGAATCTAGATGGCAATTACCAAGTATATTGTAATTTCAATGTTCGAAATCAATAATCAGCACTGAAAAAATAGATCGAACCTGCGATATCTGGATTACATATCCAATATTCTGATACATTTCCTATTGAGATATACGGACGTTTTGTTGCTTATAAATCCTTTATATCATCTTAAAGATATATACAGTTTTTCAGAGCCTACACATTAGTTCAATTTCATTTCCGATTGGCCCCTGCAGTAACTTGAAGGTTCGCCTTGAAAATACGGCATGGCGATTGTTTTTGCCAGTTTGTCATTTTGGGAGCAGAAATGGAAAATGTCTTTTAACATTAGTAAATGTCATATTATGCATATAACGAGAAATCGCAATGCACTAAATGCTGTTTCTAAATACACTTCACAATTAATTAATTGCCTCTGTCAGTTGAAAACCAGGCGACCTACCTAGGTATAGAAATAAGATCAACGTTGAGCTGATCCCCTCAAATAAATAAGATCTCTAGTAAAGCCAGTCAGAGCTTAAATTAGGCTTCTTTAAACGTAACATGCATTCCTCCAAACCTTGTACTAAAGCAGAATCATATAAAAGCATTGTTAGACCAACTTTAGAATATTGCTCTAGTGTATGTCATCCTTACCATCAGTAGAATACCAGTATTGATAAAATTAAAAAATGTTCAAAGGTAAGCTGCTAGATTTGTGACTAATAATTACAGCAAGACACGAGTTTGTATATAGTCGTAGATAACCCACTTACTGCAGCAACCAGTCTTAACTCAGACTTAGATCGGATACATTCTTGGGCCAATACTTGGCTTGTTTCTTTTAATCCAGAAAAAACAAAAACAATTACTTTTTCAAGGAAATTATCTAAACCGTCTCATCCTACACTTAGTTATAACTCTATACCAATATCTCAGGTCAAATCTCATAAACATCTTGGTGTTACTTTATCTCATGATGCCCGTTGGAAAACCCATATTCATCTATTACTTGATAAGGCCTGGAAAAGAATCAGACTACTCAGAAGTTTTAAATTTCTTTTTTATCACGAATAAGTTTAGAACGCGTGTATTATTCATTCGTCCGCCCACTTCTTGAATATGCTGATGTAGTCTGGGATAACTTAACTGACGAACTAAATAAGGAAATAGAATTCTTTCAAAATGAAGCAGCTAGAATAGTCGCAGGCGCTACCAAACTGTGTAATATTAACAAACTCATCAGTGAACTTGGGTGGGAATCGTTAGAAAATAGAAGAAATAAACACAAATTAATCTTATTGTATAAAATGAAAAACCATATATCACCTTCTTATCTTTCAAATCTTCTAACTCCCACCCAACAAAGTACATATAACCTTAGACGTATTGACGATTTAACTCCAGTTCAAACCAGAACACATTTATACTCAAAATAATTTCTACCTTCTACTATACGCACCTGGAATTCTCTCCCTTAAACTCTTCGATATAGTTCAACTTTAAGCTCATTCAAGTCCAAAATAACTCCGAATATCAAAAGACCACCGTCTTACTATAATACAGGCACACGTAAAGATCAAATCCTTCACCCAAGATTAAGATTAGGATGTAGTTCATTGAATGAGGATCTGTTCAGAATGTCTATTATGGAAAGTCCAACATGCACATGCGGAATGAGAGAACCTGTATCTCATTTCTTATTGCAATGTACCAAATACAGAAATATGCGCGAAAGATTTCTCACTAATTTAAATTGTCCGGCTACATTAAATAATCTTCTTTACGGCAACAAACATCTCTCTTCTGATGAAAACAAAACCCTCTTTCAGAATGTCCAAAAATTCATTACACAATCGAAGCGCTTTTTGTAAGAATTACTATCAGTGTGAATAAACTTGGTCTTTCCGTACGCTCATATTTCTTTACATGTTAATCTTAATTATTAAACTCCGATATATTCAATCATATCTTTCCTTACATTCTTCCTTTCTTCTAGCATTTCACCATAATTTACCTTAGTTTCTCTATAGTGATAATTCAACAATCAATTATTCTCTTATTCTTTGTTGTACATTCAAAGAGCTTACATCTAACCGCAACATGTTTGTATCTTTATCTTGAAAATTACTTTTACTGGAGAGGAATTGATATAAGTATTGTTCTACTTGTTTTCCAATCCAGTCTGAATTACATTGTTGTGCAATGTTTGTAAATGTCATTTATGTACAATTTATTGAATAAATAAAGTTTAAACTAATCCGAGACTTAAAATGGAACGCTTTGCAATCAAGAAGACAACAATTGAGACATGTTCTATCTATACAGTATATATTTTAGTTTAAAGGTATTATAAGAACTTTTTTAATCAATTAAATATGTGATTTATGTTAACTTTCAATGTATTTGTACATACTAAATATATATATTAAAATACTACAATGTATATATCTTCTGTTTCTCATATACATTGATTATTTCTCTCCATCTTTAGGTCGCGTCTACACCTATTCAAGTTTCTTACATGTCACATTTAGATAAGCTAAATAAATGGCCCTTACAACATATAATCAGGCACAATTTTTACTGAAATGTCTTATTAAGATTGCCCAGGATTTATACCTTTGTCTTTGCAATACTATCATGTTTCCGTAAAATGTGTTAATAAAAAAAGCGGGAAAATGATGCAATTAGCTAAAACAATGGAGTAAATGAAATGCGTACATTCTTTAAAAAAAGGAAAATGTGAGGAAAAAATACATTTTGATGCAAATTCTTTATTTGATGAAAATTATTCACTAAATGAACAAGATCATTTAAAATCCATTTTGACTCTCTTTGAAAAACAGATCTTTTTTATTTCTTTTTAATTAATTAATTTATTTATTTATGCACTTCTTTCTGTGTATCAGCGTATTGATTTGTTCCTTTGACCAAGACATTGTAAACATTTACTGAAATTCACAGGTCATGTACACTGAATCAACAACAAAAAAGTCAGAAAATAATAAAATAAACAGCACTATCACACATTCGGGCACATGTTTTGTGTCAAACTGGTGTTATCAGTGTCTTGACAGCCAAAAACTTGTAGAAAAATAGAACCTGTTCTAATTTTCTTGCAAGAAATTATCTTCATGGATGTCACATAATTCCTCTTTAAAAACCATTCAAGTAGGGTGTCTACATTATCCTATACAAGAGAATATGATACTTGCATTCAAGACTTGGATAGGTGTAGACACGGCCTAATAGCAGACGGTTCTTTACTTTATGTTACATTTTTTTTTTGCTTTGGGCTTGGTACATAGACTTGTGTCCTTTGATACTCTTCTTTTTGAAGATAGAAAAGTACGTAACTAATAAACAACATGGCGGCCTCCTCAACATGGGTAGATTTGCTGAAAAATTCTCAGAAAACATGCATGATTCAAGAGGGTACTTACCTAGAATTTGTTTTGTATGATTACATTAAGCTCAAATCTTTCACTATTGTATTTCATAATAACTTTAGATGCCATTTGTAAGTGCTTTGTACTGTACTGTACAAACGTGTTTGCTAGAAGTTTCGACAAGGCTGAAAGTAAAATAACAGAATTTTACCAAGTGTATAGCTTTGATGTAGTGTCCTCTCCTCGTATTGCATGGAAAATATGGAAGTCCGCTGAAAAAATCATTTTATTTTTTATTTTTCGAGTTCAATGCACAGACACTTGGGGTGTGTAGTCCAATATTATGAAAAAGGCAAAGCCTCAAAGCGAGCTCGAGTTTCTTTTACCGTAAGATTGTTTAAAATAATCTTTCTTTTTATTTTACATTTTCCGTTTTAAACTTGTCATTTGGTATTTTATACACTGCTTCCGTTTATTCTGATTCCCCCTTTCTAATATGAAATTAGGCAAAGCCTATGAACGGGGAAGCCGTTAAAAATTCCTTTCATTCTTTCCGTTTTAAAGGTGTCATTCGGTATTACATGCACCGCTTCCGTTTTCACTCGGAACACTCGACGATTATCATTTATCCGAAAAGTTGAGATTTGTTCCGTTATCTGAATACCCCGCCTATTATCATTGAGTTACATTGTAAATGGCGGCGCTCGACTAGAACTGACACTGAAAATTTCATTGATAGGTATAGAATTCTATATATTTTTTAATTGTTTTTTATTTGATTTTCTTTTAAATATACACGTGTAGTCTATAGCCGGGCAAGCCAAAGCCCGGACCCGCTTTGCGGGCCCGGTCTTTGACTTCCCCGTATTATGGTTCCTATATAAGTGCGCAGGACACCAGTCTACGCTTCGGTTTTCAATCAGAGTACATCCGCTTTTATCGTTATCTTGTAATTCGAAAAGTTGCGATGTGTCCAATTGGGTACTTCAGACAAAAGTTTTCAAAACCATCACTTAGCAGGTACTTGCATTACCGTAAAGTTCGCTTTGCGAGCAGGCCCTTTTGGCCAGCTCGTCGAGCTCGCTATTAGACATTACAGGCTTGTTATAGTTTATGTCGGTCAAGCCTGACGTCTAATAGTTATTGCTCAAAAACGCATAGCATCATAAAAAATTCAAAAAATGTCTATTGTCTTGCCTTTCAAGCTTTATTCAAAAGCTTATCTTCTTTTCTTTCAATTTCATGCTCAATCATACACAAAAACTCTCAAACAATGTACTCCTCAATTTAAAATAAAATATTAACATCAATCTATTTTTGTCTATCAGCCATACTGGTTAAACAAGGTGCTTTACAGATTGATTCCAAATTTTTGAACGGAAAAATATATTCGAACACACTGACGGTGCATGGGCAATTATTTCGTTCAGAAAATATTCAGTTAGAATTTTCTGACTCAGTTAAACGCTTACATTTGAATTAGCCAATCAGATTTCGCGCACTGTATGGCCGCCATTTGTTTATCGGCTGTAAAAGGAATTTAAATACATGAGAGGATTTAATCATGATTTTTCGGATGTGACAGTTTAATTATTTTGACAAAAGGTATTTCTCTTTTAGTTTTGTTCATAAATAGGTCAAAACTAATGTAAATACACGCTGTCTTAATTGTTTTTCGTTCCGCCCGATTTTCTGGCAGAACATGCTAGGGGTTTTTGAGCAATTTCGATATGACGTTGCTTTGCCCAGAAGCAAAAATATCTAAAAGCTATGTCATATTTATAGGACTATTGGGGTGTGGAGCTCAAAACGCCTTTAAAATCCAAATAAAATGAATATTTGTCAATCCCAGCACATGTACTGATCATATATATCAAATAAACTTAATATAAGCCGTTTTGAAAAAAATTCATATTTCAACGTCTATAAAATACACAAGATAAAAATGTTCGCACACCTACCGTCAACATCACCATGTATTTTATTCCATTTCCAATATTTTCACATAATCCTTTGGTCCATCGACACAGAAGATATAATTCTTCACGATGATGGTCAATTTTTAACTTCAACGGTAATATAAACTGTGTCTGTGGTTCAATGTGTCATTCGGTATTCCATGCACCTTTTCTGTTTTCAATCAGAAACCTCAATGATTATTCTTTATCCAAAAAGTTGTGATTGTTCTGTGTTATCGGAATAGCCGGCTTATTAGCATTGAGTAACATTAAAAATGGCTGCCCCAACTAGAAATGATAAATGAAACTGAAAAATCACTGATAGGTATAGAAATCTATGTACTTTTTTAATTATTTTTTATTTGATTTCCTCTTAAATATACATGTGAAACGTATAGCCGGGCAAGCCAAAGCCTAGGCTTGCTTCACGGTCCTGGTCTTTGACTTCCCAATATCAATAAAATGCAGGTTTTTTTTATGACTTGGACATAGTCCTTTATACTGTTACTTCTATAGAATACCCCCTCCCCCTACTTGAAATGATTAATGTCGTGCCATTTTAATTATGATTTTGGGCGTGTTTCAAAAGCCACCATTACGGTAATGCAATTATCTTCAAAAGTGATGGCTTTGAAAGCTTTTGCCAGAACTTCTGGGTAGTAATAGCAAGCTTGAAGGGCCTGCACATAAAGCGAGCTTTACGGTAACATGAGTACCTGCTAGATAGTGATGGTTATGAAAACTTTCATCCCAAGCACTGAATTGACACATCGCAACTTTTTGAATTACAAGACAACAATAAAAGCCGAGGTATTCTGATTGAAAACGGAAGCTTAGACTGATGTCCTGTACACTTATATGGGAAGCATAACTGGACAGGGAATCAGAATAAACTGAAGCAGTGTATAAAATACCTAATGACAATTTTAAAACGGGAAATGTAAAATAAAAATGAAACAATCATTTTATACTATTTCACTGTAAAAGTAAATCGAGCTCACTTTGAGGCTTTGTCTTTTTCATATTAAAATAAATAGACATAGATCCTGAGTCAATATCAACTTCTGGTAGGCTCTTCTTTCACAATATCCTTTTCCAGAAAAGAAAATTGTTAATCTCGAAATTTGATTTTACAAGCAAATTTATGTTCTCTGTATTGAGTGAATTATTTGTTTGAAAGTGTGCAGATGTGTAGTAAAAATTGTGCAACCAGTGGGTTTTATAAATACATAGTAGATAATAAAATCTGTCAAAGAGCTTCACCCTGAGGGTCAATTAGGTTGTAAATACTTATACAGCAAAGCACAGTTAAGTCTTTTTGTGTGAAGAACTTAGATATTTGGCATGCAGAATTTTCAAGCTGGTATTAATACAAACATGTTAAAAATTTTGGAGCTTCATCCAATGTGACTTTATTTAACTAACTTTTGTCAATAGTTAAAGTTTATAAGTACATGTATATATCATAAATGATTTTATTTCAGGAAGAAGAAAAATTCATTTCACATTAACAGATGGAAGAGAGCTCGCTGAAGAATATGATCTTAGAACTAATGAGCTAATTGGTAAAGTATTTTCTTATTTTCTGTTTCTTGCAATAATATAAGACTGAACTATGGACATATATTTATCTAAAACATTATTACTCTATTTGCCTTAATTGAAGGTTCCATGGGAGATTATTTTTGAAGATGTACATGCATCATTGGTAGTGTTATTGAAAAATATTATTTTTTGTGCATTCCATTTGATCATGTACAATTTGACTTTCAAATGCTGTGTGTTTATTCATTAACGACAATAACTTTACGCAATCATTAAACTACTTTCAGGGTTGTCATTTGGAGGCAGTTAGAGGTCAAAATAACTGTCTAAAATGAATTTTAGGCCACCTCTAAACGTAGAAAACAGTCTTTCTTACAAGTATGTGTTTAATCCATAAATGACCGTCTCAGAAAATCTTTAATGACAACTTTGCCTGATACAATAATGTCTGAACTCTAAATTCTGCAATATTACTCATGGCATGGCAGAGTGGTTAACATGTCTGACTAGTAATCTAATGATTGTTAGCCGCAAACAAATTTGAAAGTGTGTCTATAAGCTTATTATAGCTTCCTACACAATCAAACTAAAATAAATTCTGTATAAACTAATAACATAACCAAAGTCAAAATGAAAATTTATTTCATTCAAATTATAATAATTATTTTGTAATGAATGCAGTTCGTAAATGGAAGAAGAAATCAACACTAGGAGGAGCTGTTAAATGGGAATTTGAGGTCGGTGAGCAGCTCGGTCCTCGTATGCTGGAGGCTGATGGTTTAATGGAAAGTAATGTTAACGTAAGTAACAAAAAATTGCATCATTCTAATTGATTAGATAATGTAATGTAGATTTTTCTTGAGTATTTTAAAGGCACATTATGCTTCAGAAACAAAATTTTCCTTTGTTAGAAAGGGCAAACATTGATTTTTATAACATTTAAAAATATAGTTTTAGAGTATATTAGATACTTATCGCCTAAGGAAAGTAGAGCTGAATGTGAAGGTATTTGTCATGGGGCCTGAGTTTTGAAATAATCATTGCAAAAATTTGGCATTTACATCTCCAAATTTATCGCAGCTTTATGAATTATTTGAACCATCAACAATTTAGTGGGAAGGTCTATTGATTAGGAAATTGAAGGCATCTTGTTAATTTAAACTGTATTGAGGACTTGAATGATAATTAACCCCTATTTCACCCTTACCACAATAAATAACATAGATGGACTTGTCCATCTTTTAATCAGGACAAAACCATCATTTTTAGGGGAAAATTCAGAATGAATTCTGACTGAAAAGCAAACTTTGCAGACCATGATGCTGATCTTGGTCTGCACTGGTCTGCATAGTTAGAAGCTGGCTTAGTGTTACACAAATCACTTTCATCTTTGATAGAAATATGAACTTGAAAATCACAAACATTTGTACTTCATAACAGAACATTTTCCTTCATCATTTGTTTATATTTCAGCCAATATTTGTTAGAAAGGACACTGTGCCATTATTCCAGTGGAGGGTACGGAATCTGCCATATCCATTGGAAACATATAGCATAACTTGTGACGAAGATCAAAATATCATAATTAGAACATCAAACAAAAAGTAAGTATGTGTATATAATCTCAGGAAAATTATCCTATTTATGATTAAAAGGACTATACTGAGGTTTTTGGCATGATGGAACTGGAAATGATTTTCTGAGATTTGTATCATTTGTTTTAGGTCTAGTGCAATAAATTGTGTGCAAATTTTCTGATCATTTCCTCACCCCTTTTTTTCCAGAATCATCATTAGTATTGTACGAAATGACACAAACAAGAAAAGGGTTGATATGCTTTCTCAAATTAGGCTTAAAATTGCTCAAAAAAAATAGTTTAACAATTAAATTCTGAGCATACATGAATTTCTTTACTAACCTTTGAAGATTTATTTCATGTTAAAAGCTTCACTTGATCTATTTAGAAATTTCAAATTTAATGTCTTTAGGCTTTTTGACTTAAGTGGATCTCCTCCAAAGTAAGAATTTCATTCTTTTGTCAAAACGAAATACAATGTATTTTATTTTAATGTATTCAAAGTATATATTTTACATATTATTGAAATTTCCTTGGGTCACATGTGTTATTGAATATTCTGTGATGAAGTTTATACAATTACAGCAAAAACTAATGATATTTTAACTTCTACCAGATATGTAAATTCACATTTTACACTCATATGACCATAATATCACTTTTAATGTTGCCAGCCACAGGGCATGGCACAGCCATTATGGTTTGATGTCACATCTGTTTTATTGTTATTGTGTAAGAAGAATCGTTTACAAATGCTTAAATCAAAACAAAGATTAAAAGAAACATGTGCTATTGTAGCCAACCTGTTTGTTTATGGAATAGAATGCAAATTACATATATCTGTCTTCTTTTTGAAAGCCAGCTATTTTACATAAACTCCTCTTTTAATAAACATTGACCTACTAAAGATCCTGTAACACAATTTTTTTTATGATTTTATATCAAAAATCTGATGCTCAAATAAAGATTTATCAATATTGTAAATTAAAAAAAAAGCATTATTTGCAAAGATATTACCAAATTTACATTTCATGTAAATAAAGGGAGGTAATTAGAATTTTCGATAAAATCCAAGCCAAATTTTTCAATAAGAAATGAATGCATTACTTATAATGATGTTTGGAAATTGTTTTAAAAGAAGACTTATATACATATATAAAATTTCACTTAAGTTTTGTTACATCATTGATTACAACATACAGAATCTTTAAATGTACTTTTCCATCTTCCATTTTTAGAATTGTCTATAATCAAAATAGGGAATATCAAGATGAAAATTAAAGTTGGTCAGCCAACAGTGATAACTATAGAGCCTGGTCAGACAGCACGGATGTGCAGGCTGGCCTGGCTCTAATATTGTTGGTAAAGGCTAATTACTATTGACTGTAGCTGGGTAAAGGTTAAAAACTTTCATGTCAATGTATATGTTATTTATAATACAGGAGTTGTCTGTTTATTTCAGATATTACAAGAAATTTAGAATACCAGACATGGAACGATGTAACCTAAACCTGGAACAGTCTAACCTCTCATTTGCTCATGCTAACAATACTCTTATCATCTCAGTAAGTAACCTAAGTACTTTAAAAAGTAAAAAATATATTAGAATTGTGGGTGATCTTTAAATTATTTGTAAATTATTACACTAAATATCTTTATAAAAATCAAAGTACCAAAATTGAATGTACGTGTATAATGTGTGTATATTTGAAAACACAGCAGCTTCGGATGCAAAAAAAACATTGCTCAAGTTCATTTAAAGAACTCATCAAAGAAAAGGTAAAAATCTGAGAAAAAAAAAATTGTATGCAGTATGAGTGATTAAAAGTTGTAGTTGAATGTTGATGTCATTAACATCTTTTTGTGCATGAATATGTTAAAAAAGATAAACACAATCAATGCTTTGTAAAGAAAATTTAAAACCAGGATAATTTAAATATGAGTTTTTTCTTTGTTTTCAGTATAAAAAGCCAGCTGCTATATTAGATATGGAGAAGACATTACATTCAGAATTTAGCAAGTTAAAAGCCAATAAAGATGGAGATGTTGACTGTAGACCTAGCTGATAGTGTTAATAACTTATTTAATATACCAGTCATTTGTAACCAGGGCCTCCATACCCCTCAAGGATAGTTGGAGGTTTTTTTGGACTTGAGAGGATATGATAAAATCCTCACCATGTGGGGGACAAATGAGGTGATAAAATCCATGTCAATTTCTCCCAGGGTGGAGACAGTTTCAAGTTTAAACAATTTAATAAATGCTTATTTCCCCCAGCTATCTTTTCGCAGCATCCCTCTAGGGATGGAGCTGGTTTACAAATGACTGGTGTATAATAGTCACATGACCGACCTGTATTCATGATACCTCACCAATGACATTCCTTCATGATTTTCAGCTTATTTGCTTACATTTTAAAGCAGCATGCCTCTAGATTCATACAAATTTTCATGAAAAATTTCAAATGTACTTAAAAGTAAAAAATTGTGATAGGAACAAAGAAAGTAGTTTACACATTACAAACAGTACTTTTAGTCCACATAATTTACCAAAAGGAGGTCAAAATATCCTTACTGTGTTAGTCACTCAGTACAAGTATGGTGATAAATATGGCAAAATCAGTCACTAATCACACACATCATGTAAATCATTACTTGAATCTTGAATTTTTTCAATTTTCTTAAAACCTTTAGTACATTGTTTGATATTCTTTAAATATTTTGGCTTATCTGGAGGTATGCAGCTTTAATATTATGATTAAAATTGAAATCTGTCAGTAATTCACTTTCATTGAAAAACATAGCAACATTATACATGAATATCAACAAGTTTATAAATCATTAATCATTGTGTCAGAAAAATATGCAATGTACACAGCAATACAAGTGTTATGAGTTAAGTGATTTTGTGTTCTTTTTCTTTAAGATTTAAGATTTAAATTTTTTGGAAATTATTATCTGAAAATAAGTCTTGATAATAAAAAAGATATCATTTTTAGGTAGACTCTTAGAATAATAGAGAGAGCTTTAGTACTCACCCCAGTGAGGTTGTTTTGTTGTGCAAGTTGGTATCTCTAAAACTACTGAAGGGAGTGGGTGAAACTTCGCACACTTGTTCTCTATGATTATCTAACATGTTGGACACAGATCACATTAACTCTTGAGTTACCTTATGACACAGTTATGCCCTTTTACTGGAAAACACAAGTATAGCAGATCCCTGTCTTACAGACAGCTTGTTTTGAACATTATATCAAAAAGGGTTGGTATTTTACTTTGATAAGAATAAAACATTTTTTATATTGTTTGAGTAATAGCATGAAAGGAACAAATTATTTATTTACTGCCTCTCAAAAATTTATAAGTCTAAAAAAAAGTATAAATTATCTGAATCTCAACCAAACAGTCCTTTAGTTTACAGCACCAAATTTAGATATCATTGTCATTATTTTGCCATGCCATGTCGAAAAAATAATTTCTCACAATAATTTACCCGTTAAAAAATTGCTGTATGTTTCTATCTGAATATATATTTTTTGGTATCAGAAGACTGTTTCATTTATCATAATGAATCTTGTATGTATTTATATCAATGGTTGTAAATTATTTTCTTTATAATAAAGAATACTTAATGACTAAAATGTGTTCATTATTATATGTCATAACTAGTTGCCCTGTAAGGACATGTCCCATGTGACCATTCCCTCCTTTCTTGATTGAGGATTTGCCCCATTTAAAATATTATGATATTAAGCATATTTTAATCATTTTCTGTTATACTATTTATGTATTTATTTTTTGACATTGGGGGATGGAGGGACGGGTAGAGAGTGCGCACTTATTGATCTTTCAGAAAATTTCGTATTACAACTATCTAAAGTATGTACGACGACGTGCCCCTTCAGGACCAAGTTGATCCATCAACCGTCAGTAAGCTTTCTCGAAAACTTTCTCACATGAAAGAATCTGACTGGGACTCGAGTCAACAGTGCTGAGAGGCAATATTTGAAGACTACATTAACTTCTTGGCCACAGAAACTGGCATGTTCTTGTATACTTTTCTATTTGACTGAGTGGGGGGTTACCTTGTAAATTATTTACATCATATTTTTGTTTAATAAGACCATAAAGTCACACTGTTCTGTAACATTTATCACATACCTGTGCCGCTTTTTATATTTGTGTAGCTCCATTACTTAATTTGTTGAATAAAATATGCTCGATGGAGGCTCACATAGTATAATTTAAATTTATTCAACCATTCAATAAATTCAGTATTGAATCATTATTCAATGTAATATCCTTTATTTATTACATAGGAAAACATTTGTATGACCTGCACAGAATTGTGTGCATCTTGTCTGTTTACAGGGTTTGAAAGAGATAAGGCTTTTTTCCTAGGCATTCTTGTTGACACCATTCATAGAGAAGAAAAAAAACAACTAAACTGTTGAATATAGTCAAAATAATTTTTATTCACTCAGTACATTTAACAAAACTCTTTTACCTTTATATTCATACAAAATAAAAATAGAACAAAATATATATTTTGTAAAAAATATTAAAATTTTACAATTTTGATATAAAAGTTAAAATAATGTATTAATATCATATTTATTTTATTGATTCATTCCCATATCACACTTCTCATATCACAGCTTTATTATGTACAAGGTCAAAGTTCAATATTGTACAGGTTAAAGGTCGAGTTCAATATTGTACACACTTAAAGGTCAAACTACAATATTGTACATAGTTGAAGGTCAAATTACAATATGGTACATAGTTAAAGGTCAAACTACAATACTGTACATAGTTAAAGGTCAAACTACAATATTGTACACAGTTAAAGGTCAAACTACAATATTGTACATAGTTGAAGGTCAAATTACAATTGTACATAGTTAAAGGCCAAACTACACTATTGTACATAGTTGAAGGTCAAATTACAATATTGTACACAGTTAAAGGTCAAACTACAATATTGTACACAGTTTAAGGTCAAACTACAATATTGTACAATTAAGGTTAAACTACAAATAATATTTCTACACAGTTAAACTACATGTACAAAATGTTACAAGATTGTTAAATGATAACAGAGAAACAGTGTGCCAGGCAAATGATCTGATGGCATGATTATGCGACCAATCTTGGTCTGCACTGGCATAATCAGTCACTGCCAGCACAGCATGCTAAGAGTTAAAAGTAAAGAACCATTAGATATATGTTTTAATTTTTGACCTAGTCCATATGGCTACTTTACTGGTGGGGTAAGACCTTGGGCACCACTCTGTGCATTATATCATGCACAAGTGGGTGCAAACTAGCTTTGTAGATTCCTTACATGAAAGAATCCTTGGCCAAGAAAGCCCCTGCTATTAGCTACTGGAATATTGAAAGAAAGTGCAATATGATTTGATTGCATGTTTACAAATTACAAAAAAATGTAATCATAATTTCATTCACAAGTAATGTGGAACACATGGCCTGCCGAGTGGAAAGGCAAGCAGACAAGAAAGTATTCACAGGAACAAAAGATGACCTAAGGAATTGGCAGAGCTCACTAAAATGAGAGTAGTATATTTGGTGTATAAATTATTGTTAAAACATTTGTAAAGTTGTGACATATGAAATAACCTATAAAAAGGGCCATAACTCTAAAACAAAAATGTCTATGGTATGCACAGGTATTCAAGTGATGATTTGAGTAAAGTTTTACAATTATGCTCCTAAAAATTTGCTTAAAATATATATAATGTGTAAAATAATATATGTATGTGTAAATATATGTTTTTGATATTCCAAAAATATATGCTGTTTGTAATAAAATGAAAATTTACATAAAAAGGCAAAGAATTAAGTACATGTAAAACAACAATGTATTTGATTTACAGAACATTTACAATATTTAAAACTAAGACTATGTTTACAAGATCTTAAAATAATTTGTTTACAAATCTGTAAACTAATATCACAGACTCAAGATAGTTTACAATACAAGCAATATAATACTGGCCTGGATAGTTATGTGGATAGCCTCCCTTGAAATATTACAAATGATGTCAAACTTACAAAGGGAGATGACTTCAAATTTAGAAAAAGGCAACACCATCTATTCCTGCTTTTATTCAAGTCTAAGTCCCTTCATTAAATAAAAGGTGGCGTTTTTTGTTGGTCCTTTTTTTTCACTTAAAATTCAAGGTTAAGATGGATGTCTTTATATTATATAAGTAACTTCCCTTTATGTTTTTATAGCCCTAGCATTTCTCTACTTCTCTTCAAAAGATATCTCAACATATTTACAGCAAGTAATGACTTCTCATTATTCATTTATTGAAATGATAATTTAATGGCTAATTATGCAAATGACTTAATGTTTGACAAATTAATGCCCCTTGTTTTTACACTGTGTTTTCTATTTCTCATGTCTTTTAAGGATAGACAGTTTACTCTGCACAATATATAAAATTATTTAGGTACTAGCACCTTTAACTGCATAATGGGAAGAATGTCTATAAGCCTAAATATCATTTCAGAGGACAATCTACAGCTTGAAATTAAATATCCATTAAGTAAAGTCAACTCATTTTGCAGAAAGTTATCCCCAACAACATGTGCAATGTAATGTCTGTTATGCAAGTTTTGTTAACAGTTAATTTTGCTTACTACTCTGAACTAATGCTTGTTCTTTGGTAAAGTCTTGAACACTATGTTATAACAGTCCATAATATTTATTTAGCTCCAAACTTTCCTTTCATCTTTTTGAAAGCACCGGAAATTCCTGAACCAGACGACATTTTCTGGTAGTTAATATCATGCTGAGCGGCAAGATCGTGAATATCCTGGTCAGACATCTCGCGTATACGATGACGTAACGTGTCCTGTAGACTGTGATTAGCCTCAAATCCATACATATGTTCGCGGTATATACGTATCTGGTCTATCACTTGACATATTGACCTGGAATTATAAACAGCTTGTATCAGTATTGCCAGAAAGCATATTTCCTTACAGAAAGTTTTTTATTAAATTAAAAAGGAATATACTGAAGAACCGTGGTAAGTTATGCAATCAGGAGCACAAAAATGTTATAATAGTTTGTTAAATCCTATAATAAATCTCAAATTACAAAAAGAACTGTGTGGTAGATCTACTCTGAATAAAGACCATTTTTCAACAACCTTTCATTGATTTAATAGAACAGAGTAACCTCTAAATAGGGACCACTTGTCAATAACATCCATGTTTGGTCTATTCTTTAAGTGACCTTGTGTTTGACTTATTCTGATTTTAATACATTTCAGTATTTTATAGAAACTTATAGTTGCTTAACTAAGTTGCAATATGTTTTTCTGTTATGTAAATAATTTAACTTAATGTTCAATTCTTAGTATGTAAAATAAATTGTCTAGACAATCTGAGAGAAGAGTTTTCCTTGAAAAAGACCAAATAATTTATTATTAAGAAATCATATGTGCTAAACCTTAATATTCAGATAAAAAATATTGATTAGTATAGAACACATTATTATCTATTGTGTTGACAATTACCTAATTTTTCCCCACTTGTACATCTGATTGGCTAGTTTGAATCCTCCGATCTCAAGTTGTTGTATATGTAACAGGAAGATAACTGCAGATGGAATTGTGGGATATAGATGGCAGTCTTTGTCCTGCTGCATCAATGACAGCGGATCATTCTTTAGGAACATCTGAAATTGACAGGTGAAATGAAAATGAAATATAAAACATTTCAATTACATAATTATATCATTCTTTGAACCTTCTAATGCAAAATATCTTAAATGGACTTAACCGCATCTTTCAATCTGAAAATAAAAACTCATTCATCATATTAAGGAAAATTTAACTTTGTAAATTTGTTCTAACTGATCAGATGGCAAGGACTTTTGTCATAAATGTGAACTTTTTTTGATGATCAAGTGGGAGATTTTTCTTCAAAAAGAGTGAGATTTTAGAATTTGCAATAAACAAAGAAGGAAATTCTGGAAGGGAGATTTCTTTAATTTGTGAAAATACCCCTTATTTTAAGAAAAATCTTCGAAAATATGGCTGAAGAAAGTGGGAGTCTCCAGCTAAAAGTGGCAGAGTTCACATGTATCCTTTTGTCTGCATGCTCACCCTGATTGCATGGGTAGGAAGTAGGAATCAGTGGTCTTTAGCTGGCCACGGGGTTAATTACATTAGTTATTACTAATGCATGATTTATGCTACAAATTATCAAAAGGCTATTTTAATTCCTTTTGCTTCAAAAATAATGGTGAAATTCAAAACTAAACTTTGTAAAACAAGAAATCATCAAACATACCCTAGAAGCACAAAGTTCATCCATTATAGCTGTGCATTTTGCTGGAAGACTTTTCCACGCAGGAAGTTGTTTAATAATGAGAGTCTCCAGACCGTCCAGTATCGCCATACTGGTGGCAAAGTTACGTAACTCTACACATGCATGAGCAATAAACAGGAACTTGGACAATACTGCAATCTGGGTCTACAAAATAAAAACCAATTCTTAGATATAAAGTTTTGAAACTTGCTCAGACATGTCAACACGGTCATTACCACGGCTTTGGACTAAACAAAGTGATATTATCAACATAAGAAAACTTTAAGTTGTTTAAAAAAACAAGCATTCAAACAGTTTCATATACATTACAGTGTCTTTTCAGTAATACATCCAAGAGTAAGAAAAACCTCCCATTTTTTTAATACTACTACTTTAGAACTAAAATGTTTCCTTGCTTGTTTGAGTTTTGCCACACAACACTGTTTGGATCTGTTGGCAACTTCCCAGCTTTGCTGGTGGAGGAGATATGGCAATCTGAACCAATTGGTCATTTTTGAAGGATCTTTTACTTAACTGCTCTTAAAGAACATGTATTTATTACCAATCTTGCCATCATATAAGTTAATGTGTCAACAGACTTATCTGAATAAAAAAAGACATCTAAAAAAGCATGTAATGTAATCCATTACTGAAAAAGATACATGTATAGATTTACCTTTGGATTACTACAAGCTACGATCTCACCAGCTACCCAATGGGACACTTCCTGGGCATGGTCAATCATTTTCTGTATAGCCGAGTCATCATGAAGTGGCTCTAAAAATAAACCAGTACTATCCTCTCCTACACCACTCCTGAAAATAGTTGACAGTAATACTTAAAATGTTGTTTTAAAATTTAGAAATAAAGAATTATTTGGCAATATAATGTACCAGTATTGTAGAAATTTTGACAATTATCAGCATGCTCTTGTAAAACAGGAAAACAGATAAACTGATTTCTTTCACAAATTCCAAATATAAACAACAGGATTATGCATTGAAATTAACAAAACACCATAATTTTTTTTAAAAATACACAGTTTCAAGGAAGTACTGTAAAATACGGAAAACAAATACTTTCAGGAATGAACTCATCAATTTATTTTCCTGTATACTTTTTGTGACCTGTGATCCATGACTAATCAGTTATATACAGACAACAAATTGAAGGATACATTATAATTACTTCGCAATTTCATCAACTCAATTGAATAGAACTATTTTTGTTTTGTAACCGCCCATCATAACATTAACATAATGCATACCTTCTGGCCATGGCTGGAGTTTTCATTCCTTTCATTGTAAGAGCTACCCCAACTCCTCGAGATTTAGAGTCCAAATAATGAACTGGGTGTGTCAGTTGAAATATGCCCTGTAAAATAATAAATTGTATAATTTAACAATGCACTGAGGTACTGTTAAAATTACACTCAAGTGACCTAAAAATCATTTTAGAAATGCATTTCTCTACAGATTTGAGACTAAAATTGATGCAACCTCATGGTAAGCAATTATTAAATGGGGAAGGGAAATATAAAGACAAATAAATCATGATGGAGGACCTTTAGATTATGACCTACAAGTATAATCCCAAAGACATGACACAATAAAAAGTAAATACCTTCACTGATTGTAAATTGAACTAAATGTTTCTTTGATGCATATGGCATCAACACACAGGTCTGTAAGTAAGAAAGCCACACTTTTCTTTTAACAGTCAAACTATTATATGCCTATTAGATTCAGTTAATTACTAGAAGAGTAAAACATCTAACCTGTTCTATCAAGCACAGCTGTTCAGCAAGACCTTGAGCAGTATAGTCTGCGAGGGTAAACATGTCTGTTCTTCGCCCTCGCTGTACTATCGGGAATGCGTCAGGATTCTCCATGCTTCTACGACGTCGTTCAACACACACAGCTGATATTGTGACCTTTCCTGCTTTATCTTTAGCACTAGATTTTCCACGTACCAGAGCCTTGAAAGATTCCCACTATAAAAGACATATAATTAAGATGAATTTTAAAATAAATATAATAATGATACTTCTATGTTGTATTTCTCATCATAAATTCTTCTATTTCAAGCTTATAATCTAGCTGGAAAAATAGTCCCAGTTTTACAAAAGTTAATATTTCTTCGGAATATACTTGTGAAAAACGTATGAAATTGTGTTAAAAATGGCTATGAAAATTTTAACCTTACAATTCTGGTATTGATTTTTTTCTCTTACTTACTCATATGCAAAGTTATATCAGGTCTAAGATATTGTTAAGGAACGTTAATGATAACTATGTTTATGTTTAATAATGTATGCAAATATTTAAGAACTGAATACAAAGACTGAGTACATAAATAATATTCTACAATATGTTAAGTTACAATAACCCATTCCACCATTTGTACATTTAATACATCTACAAAGGGAAGTTACTACTACTGACACCATAGTATCAAGGGAGACAACTATGCAATAACTACTGGAAAAGCAGAGTATATTAATAATATAGATTATGGGAAAAGGTTATGGCAGTTTTAAAGTTACAATATGCATTTTATTCTAAGACTTAATCATTTTTATAACAATTATTCTTGAAATTATTGAAAAATAATTAAACATGCAGAGGACAGCAAAAGTATGTTCATGCAGTTAAATAAATGTGTGACAGGATGATAATTATCTTGCATATTAGACTAGAATTTCAAGTGTTCAAACAAAGTCAGAAAATGTTTTATCTACACCCCAAGGTGTAGTAAACTTTAAATGATAACACTTTGCCCTTGTTATGCATAAGTTAAAAATTCATACACTACTACAAGAAAATAGTGCTAGATAAAGACATTGTTTTCGCTCGTTTTTTGGGCTTGTTTCTTTTTCTAAACTACATCTATTATGATATGTAATATGCAAGAAAAGGAGTCATCAAACACCAGATGCTGGTACAGATGAGAATGTTCAGCTCAAAGGTAACTGTTTCAGGCAAGTAATGACTGCTGAGCAATTACAAGAGAGCTGGAAAATTCTATCTGAATTGGCAAGTATGAAAGCTTAACCTTAAAAGAATTTGAAATATTTATTTATTTATTTAAATTAAGCTAAACCTTTGTAAAATCACTGAATATTCAAATATTGATATTGTAAAAAGTTGTGTGAATTAAGAAAAAAAAATCTTACATCAATAAACAATGTCTCTAAAAAAATATGTCATTATTCAAATAATTCTATAAAAAAAAAAAGAAGAAAAAAAGAAAGAAACGACATTAACAATACATGCCATCAACTAAAAATCATCATTTTGTTTTAATTAATTACTATGTACACACAGGAACCTGTTTTAAATGCATATTGTTGTTAAAATAATTGTTACAACATACAATGAAGTTTGCATGCAGTATGAGGGAAGACAACTATGGAAAAAAAGTTAATTTTTACAGTTTTGCTTGATTTACCTCTTTCTTTTTCTCAGTCAAGGGTTGCTAAAAATAGTGTCAGAAATATATGTATAGATATAGAAAAGAATAAAAACAATATAAATAATGCTTGCAGGTGTATAGTTATAAGCTATTCTGCATGCATGTCTTGTGTTGGCCAATCAAAGCATACAAAAATAATGTTTATATAAATTAATACTAATTTGCCAAGTCAGCACTTTTTGGAACATGCAGAAATTGTCAAAATAAAAGTGCAAAGGAACTTAAAATAAACTACAAAATGTTATGAATTCCACTAAATATTTAAATATTTGTTATAAATATGTTTCTAAAGGTCAAAGCCAATTTTTTTTGCACATCTGAATCATAACAGAAATTTCAATTATTTTCTTTTCTTCATTCTAACTTTGTTTAAAAAGATTATCATTTTTTTTCAACTAATAGAAATATGCCTTCTTTAAAGATACTAAGTTACATTGAATAATATTAAAACTAATAATTCTCATAATCATAAAGTTTATGTTAAATTTCCCTATATTTCAAATAGTAGTATTGTCTTCTCAAAGATTTAACAACATTAATATTACAGATAGATAATTACAATATATCATGCACATTCCAAACAAAGGAACATAGCAGGGATAATCTTTATTAACTGTACGGGTTTTGTTCTTTGTTCTTGTTCATGAACCTATGAATAACTATAATTAACTACTGTAAAATCTATAAATTATATCTGTCTCTAATTGATATATTCATAAATTCAAGTGAAAAAGTCTAGAATCAAGTGTGATATACAGGTATACTTAATTAAATATTATATATCAAGTTTTGAATAGGTCTAGAATGAAAATTTGATACACAGTCTAAATTATATATCATAATATTAAGTAATGAGCCAATCTAGAATGAAATGTGATATACAGTCTATCTTAGATATCATATATCAAGTATTGTACCTGAGTCTAAAATAGAAAATGTGATATATGAACTAACTTGAATATCATACATCAAGTATTGAACAAGTGTAGAATAAAAATGTGATATACAGACTAACTTGAATATCATATCACAAATATAGAGTCAGTATGTCTAGAATGAAAATGTGACAGTCTAATTTAAATATTATCTCACCTTGACCTTTGGGACACTTGTCTGCCAGAAATGCATCTCTGCTTCATCAGGGTCAGCTGAGGAAAGTTCAAGGTTGTTGCCAGAGCAACAGTTGCTAAGCAATGATAAAAGACTTTGACCTCCCTCTGATTCATCATTGATCTGTAGCAAAAATATAGAAAACCATAATAAAAGATAAAAATATTTTTGTACAAAGATTCTAAAAATCATTATATTGATACAAACAACATAATTATGTATTCTTTCAGAATATGCCTTATATCTCTGGTACATTTAACCAACCTGTACTGGTATACTACTATTGTAGATGATGAGATGAATATGCAAGTCTATGAACCTGGTTAATGTGATATTCACAGAGACCAAAGGAGAAGGTGATTGGCCAAATTTCATGACATAATGTCGTTCTTTTGAGGCAGGCATGATTTACTTTACAAATCAATTAATTGTAAATATTTTTAAACATACATGATCTTTAATAAAGAACTATAAATGTTGCTATTAACTTACATGATCTTTAATGAAGGACCTTAGCAAGTTAACAAGAGTAGGTTTTCCCTGAAAGTCAATGCTATAGTAACCTTCCAGCCAATAATGGAGTACATCTATTGTCCTCTGTTTTAGACGGGAAATATTTGTTTCTGTTGAACCAGATCTGGAGTAGAGAATGGTACATATAGACAAGATATGATTATATTCAAACAATTTTTACTTCCGTTTTAAATAAAAAGGAAGTCCTGTGTGAACATAAGTGATCGGAATTACATAACCAATATCATTCCAAAAATGTTGGAAATATTCAATAGAATTAAAGATAAGAAATTATGTAATATTATATTAAGTGACTTGACAGATAATTTGTAGCTTTTAAAATCAAGAACGTACTGTAAAAACAGCAATTTTCCTGCATTTTAGTAACATTGATTACCTCCTATTAGTACAGTACTCATAATAAAATTCAGTTAAAAATAAAGAGTTATCTATATTTAAATAATTTTTGCTAAATAAGTGACTGATTGTTTTGGATGGTTAAAAACCTTAAAACCCTTTCCATATTTAATCTATGAAATGTGTTGATTAGTCACTTTCGTATTGCACTGTATTTTAGTTAATACTTGCACTGTATTTTAGTGAATACCTGCACTGTATTTTAGTGAATACTTGCTCTGTATTTTAGTGAATACTTGCACTGTATTTTAGTGAATACTTGCACTGTATTTTAGTGAATACTTGCACTGTATTTTAGTGAATACTTGCACTGTATTTTAGTGAATACTTGCACTGTATTTTAGTGAATACTTGCACTGTATTTTAGTGAATGCTTGCACTGTATTTTAGTGAATACCTACACTGTATTTTAGTGAATACTTGCACTGTATTTTAGTGAATACTTGCACTGTATTTTAGTGAATACTTGCACTGTATTTTAGTGAATGCTTGCACTGTATTTTAGTGAATACTTGCACTGTATTTTAGTGAATACTTGCACTGTATTTTAGTGAATGCTTGCACTGTATTTTAGTGAATACCTACACTGTATTTTAGTGAATACTTGCACTGTATTTTAGTGAATACCTACACTGTATTTTAGTGAATACTTGCACTGTATTTTAGTGAATACTTGCTCTGTATTTTAGTGAATACTTGCACTGTATTTTAGTGAATACTTGCACTGTATTTTAGTGAATACTTGCACTGTATTTTAGTGAATACTTGCACTGTATTTTAGTGAATACTTGCACTGTATTTTAGTGAATACTTGCACTGTATTTTAGTGAATGCTTGCACTGTATTTTAGTGAATACTTGCACTGTATTTTAGTGAATACTTGCACTGTATTTTAGTGAATACTTGCACTGTATTTTAGTGAATACCTGCACTGTATTTTAGTGAATACCTGCACTGTATTTTAGTGAATACTTGCACTGTATTTTAGTGAATACTTGCACTGTATTTTAGTGAATACTTGCACTGTATTTTAGTGAATACTTGCACTGTATTTTAGTGAATGCTTGCACTGTATTTTAGTGAATACTTGCACTGTATTTTAGTGAATACTTGCACTGTATTTTAGTGAATACCTACACTGTATTTTAGTGAATACTTGCACTGTATTTTAGTGAAATACCTGAACCGTGTAAGATGTCTGTATAGCAATGTGTCATGTATAAAAACATTATACATGTAGTTAATCTATATTGTATCCCTTATACCACAATTAAGAAATTCATCTTCATTTATAAGAAACCTTGAAAGAAAATAGAAAATGTGACAATAAAATGACCTAAGCAAACATGTATTAACCCTGTACCTGCTGAATTTCTAAACTGGACATGTCCAGCTTCCATTTTTGGTAATGTCCATTATCAATTTTGGGGATATAAAAATGAAAATTTAAAGTTGGTCAGTTAACTAAATATAGCTTACAAAGAATTGATTTGAAGTTGGATCAGTCCATTCAAAGTTAAACTTGGATCAGTCCATTCTAAGTTAAACTTGGATCAGTTTATTCAAAGTTTAACTTTCATCAGTCTATTCAAAGTTAAACTTGGATCAGTCCATTCAAAGTTCAACTTTGATCAGTCCATTCTAAGTTAAACTTGGATCAGTCCATTCTAAGTTTAACTTGGATCTGTTCATTCAAAGTTAAACTTGGATCAGTCCATTCAAAGTTAACTTGGATCAGTCCATTCTAAGTTTAACTTGGATCTGTTCATTCAAAGTTAAACTTGGATCAGTCCATTCAAAGTTCAACTTTGATCAGTCCATTCATCAGTTTTGGTTCCAGCAGGGTCAGGGTTAGGAAGCAGTAAAAAAGTATGGAAAGACAGAGCTGCCCTCCACCAAAGATAAAGCTGTAAAAAGTTTACTATTACATTTTGTGTAATGAATTCTGTATATAATTTGTAACATAATAAATTCCTCCTTCCGTTTTCCAGCATATTCTTTGACTACATCATGCAGTGTTTATTATTTATGTAATACATGTACATCGTGACATATAAATCTTTAAAGTGAATCTATTTAGACTATTTTTGACTTCTTTTTTAAAAAAAAAAAGAAAAACAAAATTATAATTATATTTCCTTTTATCAAGTACAGATTAGATTTAACATGTTACATGAAAGATATCAATTTTTAAGCAAAAATTGAGGCAGGATTTTGATAGAAATAGAATACCGATGATGCAATTTAAAAGAAATTATTATTCAAAAAGACAACACATAACCAATGTAAAGGACCACACATAACCATTGTAAAATACCACACATTACCAGTGTAAAGGACAACACATTACCGTCACACAAAAGTAATTAATTAAAAAACAAGCAGGTTTACAACAAATTCACCAAGCAATTTGCTGCACCAAATGATGACTTGTTTCATATTGATGAAATATATTGATATTATTTTGTTACACATAATGTAAAAACAATGTGACTCCTTTGTTTATTTTTTTATCATATAACAGTGATTATAACACTGTATGGTCATTCGATCTCTGTCACGAAAATGGTGCACTGGAAATTATTAAAGGTTACAATCTACCTTACACCGATGTAAAACGTGCTTTTGTTGGACATTCTGTAAACTATACAAGGATTCAGCTTCATCATCACATGCAACAAATTCAATATCCTTTCCAAGTCAAAGCTACATTAGCAAGGGACAGGCGATTTCAAGTCAGCTATCAAAACAACTTGGTGAAAAGTTTTTCTAGGGACATGAATAGTTCCTATTAATTTCTTATCAAGATGTCAATGGTCACTGTAATTATTTTGTTGATATGAACATATAGAATTTTTAGAGAAATTGATCTGAAGATATTGTTATCTGGGGGGAAAAAATCCCTGCAAAATGATGACAGAGTAATTTCTGACAATAAGTTTCTTAACAGACATAACATTGTATTTTTCCTATGGATATAAAATTTTCATTTTTCTTATACAAATAAATTTTTCATACACACTTTTGGAAGACTAATATAAAAGTGTGGAAAAAGGCTGTCCTTCGGAAGTATTAATCACAACAAAATCACATGAATATTGCAGACTCTGTCTGATTGAGTCTGTACATGAGGGATAATGAAAAATGGCAACATCCCTCACGCTCTCTAGCACCAGCTTAAGCAGATCTCAATCCTCAACACTTAATGTGATGAGAATCAATGATCCGGAAGGACCAGAAAAAAACACGTACAACAAACACTGTTTTACAGTGCAGTCATTACAGATTTCCTATAAAGACATCAACAATCATTATATTAATTTAAAAAGAAAAAAACTTGGTTCTGCAGACGTAAGATAAGACATGAAGTAAAGAGGTAAATCCCATATACAATAAATTACTAGTATATATTATTATTATAGTTTACAGATGTGAAGCTACAGGTATGATTATTAAAGATGATCAGGGCTTCGATAACCCTCTGTTTTTTGTATCTGACATTGGAACTGATTGACCAAAGGTCCTCTACAAATGTTAATGCATGACAAAAAAAAACAAAAAAAAAAAAAAAAACGGTGTGATAGAGTTATTCTTGGGTAAAAATATACATCTGATTCAGTAATTCTGTGTTTCGTTATTTGTTTTTCCTAAAGAGAAACTTGTTTAGTTATGTTTTTCAAATGCCAGTGCGATGTCACTTTTATGACATTCATGTTTTGAAAATCAAACTACCGGGGCAGTCATTACAGTACTTAGTTTAAAAAGAAATTTGGAGGACAATTTTAAATCGAAGCCCTGTATATGATATTGCTAAGCAAAGCCTGCATGTTTTCTAAGCCTTACCTCTTTTTTAACCTTATTGTAAGCACTCTGAATGCACAAGGTGGAATAAATATGTTTTGTCAAAGATGCATTCTACATAACTGTTTTCATATACATAAAGCAAAATTTAATGTTAAATGAAGAAAGCAATGTAAAAAAAATGGAATTCAGCTTTAAATTCAACATTATTTCTTACAAAAGTTGGAACCAGGAAAAATCTCCTTAGACTAGTCATCATTTTGTCTTATTGCAATCTATTTTATATTTTGATTTTTACTACATTGAAATAGATGAAATTGCATATTAATATGATTAAGACCTTTTGTGTAAGAAAAGTCAACAAAAAATATTCTGTATCATTCACTTTTAATAAGATCTAACCTAAGACTTAAGTTGTTTTCTTTGAAATATTACCATTTAGAAATGTAATTTTAGAATATTCTCTCATAATGGTCATTACATTTCTGTTAAATTTCAGTTAAATTTCAGTTAAATAATTGAAAATTATGGTTATCATCATAGAATTCTACACAACATAAGGGCATATTTATTACACACTTTTCTTCAAATTTTGTGCTAGAACTCTAGAATGTTATACTAAATACAATTTTATGATGCAACTTAAATATTTTCTAAAAAAAAATAAGAAAAACAAACATAGCAGTTACTGTTAAAAAAACAACAAAAACAGAAAAACTAAAACTGATCAGACTACTCTATGGGCACTTTAATTAAAACTGCATTAGCAACTAAAACTACATGTACATTTATAATTAAAAAAAGGCTTATGGTTCTGCAATATGGGGATATGAAATCTTAATTTTCTGAAATGCCTAAAACTTCTAATGAAATAATGATGTTTCTTGCTATTTAAAAAGCTTTTCAGTAAATATGCAAAGCAAAGAAAATTTTCTTGTTTATATATATTATACTTTTGCAAAGGAAACAATTTTTGCATTATATAATTATCAGGCATAGAAAACTTCTTTTGGCAAAATGTACAAGAAAGAGTCAGAAATTTCAATACACATGTACATATCTTCAGCAAACAGTTCTTTACACAAGAATGATTATATTTCAACATAATTAGTATCAAGGTTTTTAGGAACTCATTATAGATAAAATATGGGGAAGTTTAGGGTTTCTTAAAGAAAAGTTAAGAATACTTACTTTGTTGCTGAGTCAAATTTGTTGATAATAAAGGTCATAACCTCTGTTGCTGTGGTAAAATAACGATAACAAAATAGGAACTGGTGAATATAACCATCACTTAATGCAGTTCTGAAAAAAATACAATACAAATTCAAATCAATTTGCAACTTATCTTAAAAGTCAGATTCATATGCCCATTGTCAATAGGCTAACAATCTCTATTTTTAACATAGTCCACTTATACGGAGGGAGAAATTAATCTGCTTCAAAAAACCAATCTTTACAAAACTATTGCTATCATTATGCTTGAAATGTTACCAGCATTTATTTTCAAATGATCAATATAGAAATGTTTTGATGATTACCATAACCAATGAAAACAAAGTGTATTTAATTTGGTTTAACATCAGTATCAATGCAGTTATTTTTATAAACAAGTTAATTATTAAATGTATATGATACATGCTGTTACTTCTTAGCCTCTGTGGCTAAGTGGTTATGGTCGTTGACTTCTAATCACTTGCCCTGTACCTCTGTGTGTTCGATTCCCGCCAGGGTCTTTGGATTCTTTCATGTGAGGAAGCTATCAGAACATCAGTGCTTCTACTCAAGTGCCTGTTTATGCATGAAATAATGCTAGGAGGGGCAACTGAGATCTTCCTCTACCGGTAAAGCTGGAAAGTTGTCATATGCCCTATACTGTGTTGATATGACGTAAAACTCAACCAATCAAAACAAAAATTTAATTTACAAGAGATGAAAATAACTTACGATGCAAACAAGTGAGCCATGAGCCCTTCAGGGGTTCCAGCATGAAGAGCCTGTATCTCACAGCCTGACTGGGGTTCACGTAATGTCTGGAACTGAAGCAGGGGGTTGTCTGGTCGTGGCTGGAGATGAAGTGGCTCGGCAGGAGCACATATTGCTATAGAGTAGAGATAGCTTACATCTATACCTTGAAGCTCCGCCAATAACATCTGAACCATAAAAAAAAGAACACAGTGAAATCGCAGTTTTCTAAATTTTCATAGAGGTGATAAATTATCTTTTAATGTTATGAAAAATTAAACTCATCTGTACATGTACTTCTATTATGAATTTCTTGAGATTTAAAGCTGTGATAATTATAGAATTCAGACGGCAAATTTATATTAATGTTATGAAAAACTGAAGCCATCATTCTGTATGTACTTTCATATGAAAAATTTCTTGAGAATTAAAGTTGCAGAAATGTATAAAATCTACACTGACTCAAAATCGTTTGTTTAATAAAGTTAATGTGACAAACAAAGTCAGACATTCTGTTAGTTTATTGAACTTTCTATATTTAAAATGTGGAAAACAAACCATTATTGACCTTATTGAAAATGATGTGATGAACAAAAAATGTCAACAAAAGGTCAAGATAACACTTATTTATGCCTTTATAAATTAAGTGGAAAATCTAAATGTCTAAGTTAAAGCTGCAGACTGTAAGCTATAACATACCTGTATATGTGTTTTACAGAGATCTATAAATACAATTCTTTTAGTCATCTCCGTAATGTCCTTGGCAACCTGTAACAACTGTGTTCTCTCAGCTAAAATGTATAAAACAACAAAAATGTCAAGAAAAATATAGAGAAATAGCATAAAAAGCAATATTTTGTCAAATTTCATGAAAATGAACAAGAACCAAACTAAGTTGATGTTCTCCCCATTGCTGTGGTATAGATTTCATTGACAACAATTAAATGTTCAGTTTTAAAGGAACTCCACTGAGGTAAAAAAAAAACACTTAATATACAAAATTTTAAATTCTGACATACATCAAGTGAAGCATTTAAAATGGAAAAATCTGCAAAGAATAAAAGAAATATACACGGAATTAAATTGATTATCGATTTTTTGTGTGGTTCATAGCTTGATTGAGTGACAAAAAGTTCAAATATGATTATTATGGAAAACAGGGTGAGGGGGTGATATGAAAATTTGCACACAAAGTTTTGGTGTAGACCTACATCAAATGGTACACAAATCTTGTAAAAATATTTCCAGGCCTGTTATGTCAAAAAACCTCAGTGGAGTCCCTTTAATTTAAAAGTCATATACAAATGCATTCAGACTTTCAACTTTTCATATTACAGAAAGGCAGGATTGGAATATTTGACTTCTTACCTTTAACTGTTTTATCGTTCTTTGAGACTTCAAATGTGCTGTTTTTGTTTGTGTCCACTAAAGATTTGTAGAATTTCTGAGTTCTTTTCCTAGAACGTTTCTCCATTTTAATTTCCTGACTCAGGGCCGCCAATTTTGACACCAGCAGTTTATGGTTTTGTTCATCCTGTTTTTGTAAAACAAATAGGGTTGTTTCTTTTAATTATTTTTCAAACTAATAGGGTTATTTTTCTGTATAATTTTGTAAACAAATAGGGCTATTTTCTATCATTTTGTCAATAAATACGCTTATTTCTATTCTTTGTTAAGCAATTTTTAATAGGGTTATTTTCTATAATAATTTTAAGCAAATAGGGTTATTTTTCTGTCTTTTTTAAGCAAATTGGATTGTTTTCTATCATTTTACAAAATATCTTTTTTGTGACATTCCCTCAAAAGGTCAAGTGACATATAGAAATTTGAACACAAGCAACTCAAAGTTACAAAAAGAAATGTATTATGAACTGAAAATTAATGCAAAAATTAATGCAAATTATTCTATGAAAGTAATATCATACTTGATTTTTCAATCTTAAAGAAATATTAAAGATAAAAGTTATGATAAAGAAATAAACTTACAATATCTTGCATAAATCTTTCCATTTCCTGTGACATACATAACTGTATCATTGCCCAGTGATACACCACATGACCTCTCTTCTCCATGGCAACACCCTCACCATCTTTAACTAGGTCAGATTGACTACTACTATGTGAAGATAAACTCATCTCTCTTGACAACCCTGTGACCTTGGCATTTGACCTTTGCGGACTTGGGACTGTTAAAGTGTTCTGATTAATATCACCTTGACCTTGTGACCCATTTACTATCCCTGAATTTTGTTTCAATATCTGACTTTGTGCTGAATCATGTGACACGTTTAGACTCAATGGTCGTGAGACATTTTGAGAATTTTTAGCAGACGGAACAACACTGTCGACAGAGAGCTGTCTATTCATAGAATTGTTTTGTGGCAAGTTAATATGACTGGAAGCTTGAACATTATTTGAAGTATTACATGGCTGACTATTAACACTTTCAGCACCTGGCTGAGAATTGTCAAATAATAAATTACTATTAGATGAACTTTTCATTCTATCTAACTCATGTTTAGTTTTTATCCTTCTTCTCTTCCCATAATTCTCTGTGTCTGTTGAATCTGAAGTGTCAGCATGCTGACTGACCTTATTTGCATTTGACCTTTGATGACCTTGCAAGGGAGACAATTGTGGTTGAAGTCTATCATGAGTTGTCTTTCTTGAGCTATCATTAGTTTCTGAGAGACCTGATGAGTCATCGTCCTGGTTGCCAGCTTGTCTCTGCTTCCTTTGACCAGCTTGTCCCCGGGAGTGACTAGCATTTCCTCTACAATATGAAAACAGTTTTATCAACATTATATATGTATATAAATACCTCAATACCATTACCAGACTATATATCTTTAATTGACTTAAACCATTCATCATTCTTAGAGAAATTTTGAAAATAAGAAGTTAAGAACTGACTTATAAGCGAGCACTGCAGACCACGATCAGACTGAATGGATGAGCTTGGTCTACACCCAGGATACATGGTTAATGGCTATAAGCAGGGTAAAAGTTTCATCTGTCAACAGTCACTTTCAGAAACTTTCCAACATACCAATGCAAACTTAAGGAAAAAAACTTGAAAAGATAGATCTAGCATCTTTTTGTCATACTCTTTTATGGAGAATGAAACTTTCCCCATAATTCTCAAAAAAATTTACAGCCCTTCAAAGTTAAAGGAGAGTATAAATGTATGATGACAAACTTAAATCATAGTGATCTGTCATACCATTGTTTTGCCTTTTGTCATTTGATGAAGTTCTGAAAATTACTGAAAATGTATGTGCAAAGTCTACAAAGTCACTAACGAACAAAATCTTGGTACAGTTAGATCTTAAGATGACTTTTCCATTTTTTTTTCCTTCTTCATTTTATGGATTTTCAATAGTGCAATGTACATTTACGTGAATATTGTCAATGCATTACAAATTGTAAAACAATGGATCAAAAGAACTACATCATCATAAACTAGCTCTTTCCTGAGAAGGCAAACAATTTTGTTTCAACACTGAAGCAATGTTAATACAATGTCACAGTCTACTTTCAAGGTCGGTTCAACATTGAAACAATACTGATACAATGTCAAGGGCTTCTTTGAATGATGGTTGAACATTGACACAATATTGTTATAATGTCAGGGCCTATTTTCACTGTTGGTTCAACATTGGACAAATGTTAATAAAATGTCAGAGCCTATTTGTTACATTGGTTCAATGTGATATACATTGTGCTTGCTCAATTGAAGCCTGAATAGCCTACCTGTTACCAGATGGAGGTCGACTACTGTTAACTGCAGCATACAGGTTCTTTAACAGTTCATCATGCCAATAGATGTCACTGTATTTCTCGCTGATGGCACTCTTAAATGTCTCCCATTTCAACACACCCAATGAAGATATATACTCAGCTGTTAAATATACATTACAATGCATTTAACATAATTTCCATTAAAAGGACAATAAAATATATCAAATTATCTTTAAATTCGATACAATATACATGTTATAGAAATCTATAACATTAAAAAAAAACATGTACACTGAAAATCCTTTAACCCTTACAACGCTTAATATCAGAAATGGACTTGTCCATCTTTCAATCTGAACAATACCATTCATCATTTATATGGGAAAATTTTAAAAAAAGTACATTGTACTATCTTAATAGTACACAGTGCGAACCATGATCAAAACTATGAGGAAATTAAGCAAATTTTGAGGGTGAAAGTTTAGTTGAAACATATTTATTTAAAGTTGATTGCAAAACAAGTTCTTGCCACTTATATTAATCACTTTCGAGTCCACTTCCTGGAACCAACCAGTACTGGTGTCATATGAAGAAACATAGGTGTGACCCAAGTAGGGCTTGAACCCATGATACCTGGGTTGAGAGGCAGACACCTTAACCACTAGGCCACCGCTCCCCTTGAGGGTGAAAAATGTACATTTTAACAGTTAAATGTGCAATTCATTAGAAATAAATGTCTATGCACAGCAAAAATAATTTACAATTTTCTCCAGAAAGCTAATTAAATCAATAAATCATTTGAAGCTTTAAAAATAAATAAGTTATTTAAAACAAATTTTAAATTTTAAAGAGCTAAACGGTTATTGTAACTTTTTCACATAGTTCAGATTAATCAAAGCTATGTTGTGTTATTCTGCATTTCAATGACTACATTAGCTTTTCTTTTGATGTTTCCTATATGCAAGCATCTATATCAAACTGATAAAATTGACTTTTGTATTTCTGAAGTAAGCATAACATTGTTGTTTTTTTTTTTTTTGGTTCTTTAAAAATTATGATTTAAAAAATTTTATACTGAGTATGTTTTATACATCTATATAACAATTAGTTTTTAAAAAGTTGTTGAAGATTGTAAAGGTATTACTTATTACAAGAGCACAGCATGCAGTGTTCATGCTCGTCTTTTATACGAGCAAAATTATCAATAACCAATTTTGACAAAAATTCCAAGATAAAAGGGGGAATAACTCCAAAAAAGTAGCTTTCAGAATTATGTCTCTTGTCTAACAACTGCACCTTGTCATGATAAGCGAGTATTCTGAGTTTCATGTTGATAACTTATAAAATGTTTCAATAACTTGATAATAATTGAGCAATTTAAAGTTTTTGCAAGATGATAACAACACTGCACAGTGATCAAAATAGCTCAACTTTTACTTTGAAATAGACAGCTCAAATGAAAAATTTAATTGATTCATTATACATGTAAATTACTTTAGGTTCAAACAAGTGAAAGGTAAAAGGATGCCGCTATGTATTGTAAAAATCATAATTATAAGGTAAAATGATTATTTATTTCTCTAAATAATCCTTATGTCCAAAAGTCAACTACATTTTTTCATCTTTGAATAAAAATTTGACATTGTGATGAAAATTGAAATTTCAAGGAATATTGTTTACGATGCGAGATATTCTTTTTCTCATCTGCAAAGCAAAAGGAAACTAAAATATAAAACAGTATTTTTCTATCATTTCCACATTTAGACATTTTCCACAACTACTGAACAATAAATTAAAGAAATAACAAAGTTAAATACCAATGGCCTTGATTCAGATATATGGACTGTAGTTTTGACCTTTCAGTTGGCACAATAACAAAATAATTTATGAACAATAGAAGTTTAATAGGACAGGTCAAACAACACTTACCCATAGCTAAATCTTCAACGCCATTTTCCATGTAGCCATCAAAGGCAAACTCTTCTCTAAGGAGGTGAACAATTTTACCCAGAATTTTTTGTTGTTTTCCATTCACATTACTATTTAATAACCTGTCCATTAGAGAAGCATCAGATCCTGGCACATTGCCCCGATATAAACCATGATTCATTCCCCCTATCCCACTATCATGTGTTGACGGGGACGGGGAAGAAGCCGTGGAGTTAATATTGTGTCTATGAATATCTTCCGGGGAGCGGAAATTACGTCCATTAGGACGTGAAAATCCTGACATTTGAACATTTCTGTTTGTATTTAACATTGAATCATCATACACAAATCCGGTTGAAAGTTTGTTTTGGAATGAAAGACTAGAAAATGAACCATGCTTGTGATATCGTTCACTGTCTGAATAGAATTGTGGCTCGCCACGATCTAAAGCATGATCTGATTTCCACTTTTGTAATCCCCCAGCTTCTCTCGGAACATTCAGTAGATGAGATGGCGAAGGACGGCCTAAGTTTTTGGCACGCATGTTTGCTGTCTTTTGCACTAAGTCTTTAGCAGTTCTACCATGGGGAACTTTGCCCCTTGACCCCGAAGGGTCAGATATTGCACTCTGATTGCTTAAATCACTTTGATTATGATAAGCTTTAGGAGACATTTCTGGACTATTTATATCTTTGATCATTGAACTAGAACCATTGGGTGAAGTAAAATCCCTTGCACTATGTACACTTCCACTATTACTATGCACACTTTGTGGCCGTATAGGAACAACAGGGACAAGTTGTAAAAATCCAGTCACAGGGTCTTGTTGGAACTGAAACTGTGGAAGACCAGAGTAAACATTTCCACCATACTGCATCCCAGGTAATGTCATAGTCTGTCCTAACAACTGAGAATGATACTGAGAAGGGATATTCAAATTTTGTAATGCTTGACCTTGACCTAGATTAGCTTGAGCAGATGTCACTGTCATATCAAGGTCACCAGTATTTTTTGACTGGTTTTCAGTTTTTGCAGAAGAATCTCCCTGATTTAAATGGTTTTGTAGGAACCCTGCTATAGCAGAAGCAAGCGAATGAGTATCAGGAACATTGCCCTGCTTTTGAATTTCCTTCAATAAAGCATCAAGAGCACCACTTGAACCTCTGCGTTTTGATCTGTCACTGCTTTTGGAACTTGATTTCTTTGGCGTAGGTGGCAAGGATTTTTTATTTGGTGTTGAGCTTTTACTGTTACTTTCCTTTGACACATCTGCCACTTTATCTTCATTTTCTATTTCTTTAACCATAGATGGTTGTTTATGTTTCATTAAATTCTTTTTCAATTCTTTCAGTTTTTTCACTACTTCCTTCTCCTTATCAGCATTTGGATCTGGGCTTTGCTTTTTTTGCGGCTGAGAAGTTTGAACTGAGGGTTTTGCGGCAGATTTTTCTTTTGAACTACTTGTTTTCTCCTCTTGCACAGTAGCAGGTTTTTCATTGGCTGATGTCTGCTGCAATATGATTGGTTTAAAATGTGTGGCAGGTGATGAGAAAGCACTTGGTATTCTAGGTTCTGCAACTGTATTTTCCTTTGGGCTTATTTTCTTTGGAACAGGACAAAATGCTCCACCAGAGACTATGCCCACTGGTGCAACAGGAGCCGGTTTGACCGGTTGGAAAGATGAGCCACCTGCAGGTTTAAATGCTGACGGTGTTTGAGAGATCTCTGGTTTAGACTCTTGAGCCAGTTTCTGCTGTCTTTGGGTGGCTTCTTCTTTATCATTCTACAATTTGTACAAAAATGAATCCATTATTGCTAAGAGATATCAAAAGCTTATAAAGTTAACTGTTTAAACATAGATTTGTCACAGTCCCAGTTATATTAGATACCAAACCTAGATTTTATTTTCTAAAAAAAAATGATATGGATCATAAAGTTAAATTAACATATTAAATGCACAAAATAATAATTTAATATATCATTTGACCGTATTAAATTACATAATTATTATAATAACTACATCTAAAGTGCAACACCTGCTGCAAGACAAACATAGAGGTATTCCTATAAAGAGATTAAATCTACCATGAAGTCTTGCTTAGGGAAATATAATACTGTTGTTGTAAAGAGGTGATTGCTCTTGAGAATGTTGCTCTGTAGTGGTGACACTGTATTTTTAAAAATATATTTTTGTATCATATAAAGAAACATAAAACAACAACATACCATTGCCTGATAAGCCTCCTGGAATAGTTTACTGCAAACGCTATCTGAGCTTGTCCCATTAATGTGTTCATTGCATACCTATAATGAATAAAATTACATGATATAAGTAATACACAGTGAGCTTTATTATGCATTAAAATCAGTCAAAGATACTATTTCATAGAAATATATGAAAATTGTCATCAAACTGGGGATTTAATTAAAATAACAGGTGCTCTAATTAAGACACCATTGTGATGTCATATAGTAACCAGAGTTGCCTAAAACGGACCATTTTAAAAAGGTAACCACATTGTACTATTATCGTTCAGATTTTTATTTATATCTGAGACAGGGCCATTTTTGGTGGATAGTGAAATTATAGTTCTTTGTAAGAACATATATTTAAGTGTTTTCATTTCACAGTCATGTAAAAAGGAATGGCAAAATGATATATACATAGATTTTTTAATCTTAAATTGTTTATGTGATTATCCATCCAGGAGCAATCCTAATAATCTGCTTTGTATTTCTTGACAAAAAAAATGATAAAGATGTTTTGTGTATGGTAATTTGTTAATCTTAACCTGCTGGATCCAAAAACAAGCCTTTGCTCAGGCCAGCCTGCCTATTGTGCAGTCTAACCAGGCTCTATAGTATTGACTAAACTCAAATTTAAATCTAGTTATCCCCAGTTTGAAAATGGACTGTTTTAAAAATGAAAGCTGAACTAATATATTTAGGAATTTCAGCAAGTTTAAAGTCAGTCTTCGACATTCTTATGTTATACTGTCTCAGATATTTTTACTATTAACTTATTAAGAACATATCTCTGTATATATATTCTAAAATAAAGAGTTATCAGACAGAGATGCACTAAATTCTTAACTAATTTCAATGCTTGATAAAAATTAAACAAAAGCCAAGGGGTAATTTCTGTGTTAGTAAAGGGAAATAATTCAGTGAAAATACATACTGGAATTATGAACCATTATTTTTTCATATAGTCAAGCCAAAAATGAATTCAGTAAGAACATTAAACTATCTTATATAAACTATAATTATACCTTTGCAATATCGACTAGCTCTGGACGTTTTACAGGGTTACTATCAGCGAGGTACTGTAGAAGATCTTTTAGGTCTGAGCTAACACTCATGGCTGACACTGAAGAGTATTTCTTCCCTGCGGCACATCTCAGAGTTACACTTAGTCCAAATAGACAGGTCTGAAAATATAAAGGGCATTCATATTAACCTTCTGACTAATTGCCTTTTCTATAAGTATAGGACTCACTACAGATTTGGAGCAGTTAGTACCTCCTGACACTTGCAGAAATCATAATCACAAAATAGAAAAAAAAAAAAACTTTTTTTTCTGCCAATTCTTAAATTTTTCATTATCATATAAAATCATTGTCAACAGATGAATTAGACATCTTAGAATGCATTTTGAAAAAGGTGAGAATTTAACATTGAATCATTCAAGCGCCTTGTCACTTTTAAGATGTAAGAACATAAACAAATATTTTGTCTATTCAGGGACAATATCAAATTTAGATAACCCAATGTTAAAACAAACCTTTTCCGACAGCTCTCCTTTCTTCTGTAATTCTGGCGCCATAAATATCACCTCTAATGGTTTCTCCTCGGGAATCGCCTTAAACGAGACGTTACCAGATTCTCTTATAACCAGAGTATCTGGTGACAGGTATGCAGCTGAAAGTATTATATAAGATTCCATATCAATAAGACCCAAGCCTAATATAATTCACAAAATGTGAAAAAACTCAATATAAACAGCCAACTTAATTACATGAAATTTCAAATTCTTTTATACAGTATGCAGCAAAATATTATTACAGAACCAATACGTAAAAAGTTTTTTTTATCAGTTTTCATGAAGATGACAGAATAATGAGAGATTTTTATCCTAAGCACATGTATTGGAAATGACCCCTAAAATAGCAGCCAGGAGAGGTAATTTATATTGCTATGTAAAAAGCATCTATACCCCTAAACAGCCTATCTTACACATATTTTTACTCTAAGACAATTAAGGATAGCCTCATCACTTGAAAAATATAAGTGCACAGAGGTAGGTGAATAATGTTTGCTGACATGACATTTTGAATATGATGAAAAACTCCTCAACAGCTGTCAAGTACTGAATCTATCAGGCCACCAGGTCAGTCAAGCAAAGAACAAATATAAGAGCTCCTAGATATAATTTGTTGTCTTATTGTTGATATTTTTATTTCTGTAGGTAAATAAACAATGCTGTATTAAAAACTAAGAAAATGGTATTCAGTTGTGATTTACATAAGATTTCACTTTTACATTAGTATCAGGTTCTAATTAAGGTTTGAACCCTAAAGAGACTGTGAGTCCTGCCTTCTAATCTATTACCAATCGGACACCCTGTCAGCTCCAATATTTTAACTAGATCAATACAAGGTTTTGTTTGTATTGAAAATATTGAAGTCCATTACTTGTTGAAATATTTATTCCTCTTCATTTAGTTTCACTTATACTAGTGCTTTCATGTATTATAAATTTATTTCATAATAACATAATCTCCAAGACAAATGTTTAATCTGCTAAATAATGTAAGAAAATGACCACTTGGTTTTAATATGCTACAAATTAACCCATTACTTCATGAGCGTTTTGTGAAAAATGGCTGTTTTCATTGAAAATTCTCCTGTTTAACAAGTTCAAATTGCTATAATACTATAAAAACTGCTTCAATACTAATTAAAACTTGGCACAAATGTTGACTGGACCATTACCCTTGCAACAACATGCTCAGGCTTAAATTTTCTGTTACCATGGCAACGAGGAGACATCACAAAATTGCCAAAAATCACTATTTTGCGTTGATTTTTTCCATCAAAATTGATTTCAAAGTGCTGCAACTTCTCAATGGATTGAGATAGAGTCAAATGCTTTTCAGCGTTGGTTACACGTTACCTTATGATCAATCTAGGCTCATTTTTAGCCTCTCACAAGTTCAAAATTTTCTTGGCGATGAGGGGGACTGCCGCCCCCTTAAAACCCCCCAAACAGAAGGGGGCACATCCCCCTTCTGGCAACCCCCTGATGTATCTTTTGGTTGGGGGGCCGCGCCGAAAAAGTGGTCACTTTTTTTAGCAACATTTCTCAAACAAAAAGAAGTGTTGGGATCCTAAATAAGGCATTTTTTCACCATTTGAGACAACAATAAGGGGGGGTGAAAAAGGCGTTAAAAGGCGTGTATATCGCGTAATGGGTTAAGCAAAAGCTATTTTTGTACACATCAAAAATTGAGTAAGAATGATACATTTCCATAATCCAGTGAAAAATAAATAATACCAATAATACCAAGAGAGTATTGTTTAAATTTTTAGTCCTAATAATTAGAAACCTTCATCTTTTTAAATGTAAGAATCTTGTAAGAAAGAAAAATGAAAAAGAATAGATAAACCCACTGAATTTGTTTATTTTTTGTTTGTTCTCTAACGGATTCATGGTTAGGCTTTGAGCCACATCATATGTCAGATTAGGTCATAGGGTGGCTCCTTTCCACCTTTATTGGAAGACTTTACGTGCCCCTTGGTGGCAGTTGCTTTATTTCAGGCATCTGTGGGCAGTAGAGCTGAACAAGAATCAACTTTTATATTTTACAAGAATAAAAAGAAAAGTGTCAATTTCAGTTCTTTGTTCTTAATGTTCATGATATATTAAAGGGACTCTACTGAGGTTTTTGTAGTATATTTCTGTCTTCTTCCCCTTTACAGACTTTTCCATTTTAAGTGCTTCACTTAAAATTTCTAAGATTTTCAAATTCTGTTTTTTAGGCCTTCAGACCTCAGTGGAGTTCCTTTAAATGAATAATTCAAAATTAGAATAAACATAAGTCATTTTTGCACATGGCCAGACAGATATGGATGAAAGTTATGCAACCAACAAAATAAAAGATGGATTTACGTAAATGTTTCTTTTTCCTCTGTAATGCTGCTGTTCCTTCTTTACACAGGGCCCATAACTCTGATTCTGAAAGGTTCCTATCTAAGGCGTCCAATATGTCAGACACTGTCAATCCCTAAAATAAAGTCATAAAATGTTTTTAATTCACTTTCAAGAGCTTATTAAACTTTATCTGACATTTTGTTCATCTTTTCCTGACCTCTTTTAAATTTAAAGCCATAGAAATCTAAAGAGAATCTTAAATAAGTTTCTGATATTATTCATAACAGTCGGCTGGGGAACATTCTCAGTGCTTGTGAGGAAAACTGAAGACCCTTGATTATGTAGTATTTATAAATTCCAAAAGTGCCAGTATTTTGTCAAAATCCATGTTAAGAGTTATGGGCCTTGAATAGTGACCTTCAATCATGCTCCCAAATAAGTGTATGAAAATTCAATCCATTTCCTTCTGCAGTTTAAGAGATACAAACTCATACACAGAAACTTAACCAAAGTGTAACAGCGACACCAACGCCAGGATGAGTACAATAACTCTCACTATTATTCAAATAGTCAACCTAAAAATACTGACCAGCCATTATATGGTAAAATATGTACAATATGTAAATTATTTTAAAAGATAATTTCTTGGTATAATATCCGAAGACTATGTCGCTAAACCTCTATACTCTTAGTGCATGAAAGCATAATGTAATAGTGTATAATGCAAATAAAAAGATCTTGATTCTTTATTAATGTTGAGATCATGATTGCCAAATAGACAACTTTTTTTCTGAATTCTCATAAAAATGTCTTTATTCTTTGACTTATAAATATCAAGTGAGAGACAGTATATGCCAGAAAGTTTAAGCTCACTAAAAGTTTCTAAAGCACACATCAATATAAACATATAAATTAAATACACACAAAAAAAATTCTTAAAATGTCAATGACCTCAGCTTCTTTTCATAAATACACTTTTTCAATTCAATATCAACGACTTATAAAATTGCACCCTTATAAAAGCCAGTCTTGGGAACTTTTCTGTTTGACAACGGCTATTTCCCATCCATTTAGACTAATATTTGTTAAGATTAAAAATTAATGCCTTTTATAAATATTCTCAACATTGATCTTCATAATAGAAGATTTGTCTCTAAAAATACTCATAAAGGAACTTTAATATAATTTTGCATGTTATATTTGCTCCTTTTTCCTCTTTCTATTCTTTTTTTGTTAAGTACCATATAATTGCAGCAATTAAAAAGCACTTCAGTTTTACAATTACATGGTCGATATTTTTTATTTTTTACAGTTCAAGTAGAATGAAATCGTTCAATGAGGAAAAAAGGAAAAGTGGCATAGTTCAATATAACTGTGCATTGTGATTGTGAGAATTTATTCTCCCTCTTAAGAAATCATATAAAGAGTGAAATTAAAAATACCTTCTGTAAGCATTAAACATTGATAGAGAAATAGAAGTAAATAAGGTTATATATGCAAAGGTGACAAGTACTGGTATTCACCTAAATAGATAATTATCAACCACATACAAATCTAAATCTAAAACTTTCGAGTTTATGTCATCCAAAATTGCTTCAGAGTTCTTAACTTTGGCCCATTTTATAGAGCTGTATTTTTTCTTTTTGGTGTTTGTTATTTTGTACTGGCAAACAATTAACATTGCAGTAAATTTGAAGTATAATCAATTTCCCTGTTTGGTCTGTTTTGAACCGCCTAATTTGCTGAAATTATTACATGGATTTGTTCAGCTCTTCCAATTTTGGAACTGTCCATAATCAATTTTGATGATATCGGGGTGAAAATTAAAAAAATTATCAGCCTACTGTATAGAGCCTGGTCAGACTGCATTGGTGTGCAGGTTAGTCTGACCCAATTATGGCTGCAAAGCTCATCACTTTTGGTTACAGCAGATAAAGGGTTAGATATATCATTAAATTTAAAAAAAGAATTAAAATATCTGATCATATATTCTCAAAGGCTATAGGCATAAATAACAAGAAAAGATTATTTAGGGCCAAAATGTTTTACAAGAAGCAAACTGTGGTCCCTTTCCAGTGTTCCTATGCAGACGTAACCATTTTAAAATAGTTAAGTATAGATAATATAGATAGGATATTGTTTTTGCATAACAGATGCAGACACAATTATTGTTGGTGGCACTATGGCAACACTTATAATTTTGTTGTAGCTTACACCTGTATGATGTTTTAGGAAAATTTGGAGCAAAAAATCATTAACTAAAGATTTTGCTCAAAGTTTAAGCGTAAAATATACTTGTTTACAATCTGATCCAAAAAAAATTTTGCATTGATTTATTATTAAATTAACTTTTACCTGTTTCCTTTTATTCCTTTTATTTTTAGAATTACAACTTTCACTAGACAAGTCGGATTTCTCTTTATTATTTCCCCCTGCTTCTGTCTGCTTTTCGGACATCCCTGTCAAATTTTGGGATGAATTTTTAATTTCTTTCGAAGTTTTATCTTCATATTTTAAATAAGTTATATTTTGATTGCTGTCTTTATTCATTTCCTTGCTATTCAAACTAGAACCATTACTCCCTGAATCTTTTGATTTTGAATCTGTTCTCGTCAAGTCAGAACTATTTGCTGAACCATTTAACAATTTTTGCTTACGATCCTGTATACTTCTATCAGAATCTTTCCGACTTTGATCCGATTCACTCTCACTAAATAATTCAGACACCACTAATTCTTGAACTAGAGTTTTCTTAGGTGTATTTCCATTTGCAACACTGGATTTTAATCCTGGTTCGTTTAAATTAATGTCAGGTTTCTTTGGAAGAGCAGGTTTTTGTTTACTACTAGTATTTGAAGTATCTAAATTTTCTTTATGTTTGAAAGACTCGCCTCCACTCAATCCTTGCTTTGACGAGGAAGATGTTTTTCTTTGTTTACGATTCATTTCCTGTTCTTCGCTCAGTGGCAAGGAATCGTCATGAGATTCTGCAGTTTCAGTTACAATCACGGTGCCGATTTCTGACATCAATGTCTCTTGTTCTGACAAAACAGTATCTTGTTCTGACAATACAGTTTCTTGTTCTGACAATGGCAGAGATTCAGCTTGCGATATGTCCTCCGTTAGATCTGGTATATCATCGCAACAAGTAGCATCTCCCTGTTCCGACTGTATATACGAGTCAGCATCTGGTGAAATGCCGAGATCTGTTGCATAACTAACAGTGGCTTGAGTGTTGTCATCATATGTATCTAAAATGCAGAGTATAAAATAAATGTAAAGAAAATATACATACAACAGTTGAAAATGTGCAAATCTTTATGCCTTAATCTAAACTTCTACAGAAAAAAAAGAAAAGTTTCTATTTAAATTTTAAAAAGTTTTAATAACATATAATTATGTGAAAGTATACAAAAGCAATTTCAAAAACAGCTAACAGCTTACCAATACAGAAAATAATCCCTACAAATTAAGTTTTAAAATAGTTAAAAAGTAACATAATTGTGTTTTGTTCTGTTGTGTCATTCTGTTCATTTTAAAAATATATTTTGTCGAGTTGCCAATATTTGATATAATTAAGTTTTACTGGATAAAACCCAATGTGAAACAGAGTCTTGCCAAATCTTTCAAAAAGTCATATTAACAGAGTATCAAAATTATAAATTGTTTAACAATTCTCAAAGATAAGCTTCTATTTTGCTTAATTACCCACTAGACTGATACTATGTCTCAATTATGTCTAGTCATATTGTAAGATTTTTTGTTGCCTGGCAAAGTTTTATTTAGCCAGTAAATCAAGTAAAACTTCGGCTGGAAACTGACACTCCTAATCCCCTCTTACAAACTTTACAACTTGTCATTAAAAATAGCAACTAAAAAAGAAATTAATAATGTTTTGCGATGTTTGATGTATAATTATGTTTTTACAATAAGAAGTAAAAAACATTATAGTTTTGCCATCTGATTACAATTTCACATTAGTTTAAGATATTCATGCATCAATAACACATTAATTTGTAATTTAAACATCAAAAGTATTGTCATTAATTAATTAAATAACCCTGCACACATTTTACAATCAAACCTGTCAATTAAGTTTATAAATACATACTTAATTCATCAATTACTCTTTTTTTTTTGCTGAAACATCATTGATTACAATAATTTATGTCGATTATTGATCACCAAGCATCTTAGATAACAAATTATGAAGACCTGCACTTCAATTCTATAATGTCAATAACCTATTCTCTTTTATCTTAATTCTTGCTATCTATATACAAGACATTGTACCGTATGTATAAATAATTGCATGTATAAATAATATCCTGTTCTATAAAGAACTTCCTGTGCTCACAATTTAAGAACTTACTGTCTGAATCATTAATTAAAGAGATGTAAATACCAAAAGGATAAAATTAAAGGCACATTAGGCCTAAGAAATGAGTAAATTTCTCTTCCTGAAGAAAGGGCGAACATGTGTTTTATAATATTGTAATTCATGATGGATGAACAACATCATGTAAGATGCTGATTGCTTAAAGAAACCTGCCTCAAATATGAACTAATTAATTTGTGATAGAGATAGCAAAATGTAAACAAAGCAGTATTTTGACTTCCATACAAATACTATAAATCATTATAACTGTACTAATTGATACAAAAGATGACCCACACAGCTGTACATTCAATAAGAAATGTTTCAGTACCAGCAGGTGTAAAATTATTTACTTCTATTATTTAAGGCGACTTACAGGCCCATTGTTATAGGCCCATAGGGCCGGGTGTTGACTTATTTATTTACTTTTTAAAACTATATTCATATATTCATATTGTATGTTGTAACAGTATATGTCACTATGATAAACAATTTATCTATCTTCATGTCAATACAATTTAATACAATTAATTAATTATTTAAATAAGTCCTGCATGAACTAATATTATGCCATTAAAAATATGTCACGGGAGACAGGAAGCAACATTGCTAGTATAATTATGTAGAGTGTTATCTTTAAATTGAAAAGTAAGCAAGCACACTAAAAATTATAAGTCCGGCAAGATTATTAGCAAAGCTGAGACTCTAATTGGTCAATTTAGATAATATTGCATCAAAATTAGACATAAAGATGTTGCTATAAACAAGATGAAATCCTTGATTATTCAGATGTAAACCCTGAACTAACATTTCTGTTGACAGGTTAGTTTGTACAATTTTAAAAGCAAAATTTTAATTACAAAAATGTAACTTTTATCATTCAATTATTTGTGTTTTTCATTTAGTAAACAAACTTAAGTATTATGAATATTAATGTATTAATTAACATGCTTCAAGAAAGGTAAGAATCCAATCTACAACATAAAATATGATTTTTTGAGAATTATAAACAAATGCTCGCACATGTGGTTGATTCCGGTAGTGAGGGTAAATTAACAAAAATACATACAATAAACAAAACATTATTTGAAATAAAAACATAACAACAGTTGAAACTGAGCACACAAACATTTATAAACAGGGCAATGTGTCTTATTCATTAACAAGAACTATGGTAATATCTACGTACATGTATAGTTATGCTGAATTGACAATTTTTGATGGAGTCTGAACTTATAATAAAAGTAATCTTAAAAATCATACTTTTCCAAATATTTCATTTTTCACCAAATTCTTTAAAACAAAACACACCAAAAAAACCTGACATTGTTTCTTAACAGAAAAACCTGAGTGTAATAATTTCTCATGCACCCTCCAGGACAGATGCCACCAAATTATAAATAGCACATTATTATTAAGGCACCAGTATTACATGAGTGGCATAAAATATTATACAAATATGGACTTTTTAGCTGTTGAATATGATGTGATATGTACTGAAAAAATTAATATTGACCGAGGCGATAGCCGAGGTCAATATTAATTTTTCAGTACATATCACATCATATTCAACAGCTAAAAAGTACATATATGTTTTATTATATAATTTATAAATAGCTTTTATATGGCTTATCACATCTGCCATTGCATATGATGGAAATCATTATTTTTCAGCTTGTCTACTGTTTCCATAATTTGGCCCTTTCCATTGGCATGCTGATCCCTATTGTTCTTAAAAATGCAAAACGGTAACTAATATAGACTAATTTGACTCTTATTTACACCCAAATCAATGTTTTTTTCAAAATAATAACAACAAACTTAGCATGACGTCACGTCAAAGTCTTGCTTCTTTAAGGGATTTCCAGAAAATCTATTTTTAGAAGAAAAACCGGTGAATATACTCTGAAAATCTATTTTTAGGAAAAAACAGTGAATATACTCTGATATTGACCTGTTATTTTTTACAAAAAGTTGCTTGTTAGCCAATCAGGGAAAGGCATTTCAAAGCTATTTATAGATTATATAATAAATATAGTTAGTGTACAGGTAAAGCATTCATTAATGCATTCTTTAACAGAAATCAAAATTGTTGTAGAGATTTTGAAAGTATCGGTTTAGCAAGATAACAATTGTATTATCTTTATTGTCTCCAAAGCTTAATGTTTCCGTCATGACAAAAAATCAAATTGTATTATGATAAATTTTTCGTCTTCATGAACGCGTCAAATAACTGGAACTTCACAAAATATTGATGCAGGTTTTTCCCGTTCAACTTTTACCATTATCTAGAGTGATCAACATGTTGTACTAGTTATCGGCAAATTTACCATTATGTAACTGTAAAAGTTCGTTTGTACATCGGTGTAAGATGAGAAAACCTCACATTTCCTCATTTCTTGAGAATCTCTCTTGTATGAAAATCATAATGCAAATACAGAAATGGGTTTGGCCACAGCATAGAACCTTGTCAGACATTATGAAGCGCACAGACTGACCTGGCTCTATGACCTATGCGTCATAGGGCTATGTAGTTTAGGTTTCAACGTATATATCTTACAATGGTGCATGAAAGCTTTATTAAGTGTATTCAAGTGCAGAGTTAATTTTACCCCATACATTATTAACCTTGAACAAATTGTCCCACATGTAACTTATATCTTACATATATAGTTAATATGTTATGAAGTAAACAACTGTTTTGTAACTTAAAGCTAAGAAGACAAATATCACATCAAAGGCAAATCAAAGTGCTTATTCTTGTTATTATATAAATTTATACTGAAATATTAAAAATCGTTTTGCATCAGATCTGCTTCACAACTAAAGTTGGTCAAATCTTTTGTCCATGCCATTTGCAAATGATGTAAATTTTGTCTTCAGAGCTCATATTGAACATTTAAGGATTCCGACACATTTCCTGAACCCAACATCGTGTTAAAGTTGTATAATATATAAATATATGGTTTTGTTAGTAAACAATTTATAATTCCACCATGTAGTACAAGTAGTGTACATTGGAACATGCAATCATACTTAAAACATAATCTGGGGTACTCGTCTCCGAGGTAACACCATAGAGGTTACTCATGTTACCCCCTTTCCAGTATAAATTCTCTACCATTACTGTAAAAGCAATACATTATCTCAGTAATTTCCTTCATAAATTACAAAGTGACAAAATCATGCCTGTAAGAGCTACTGTTCAAACTCTCTTCCTTTTCTCTGGCACTTCCAAACTACTACCTACAAAATCTTTTACAATAGCTGTCATTTACAAACAACAATTTGAAAACATCAATGACTTTTTTTAAGTTTATAATGGAAATTATTCAGTATTAACCCCTGGAAGAGTTATGGGCCTTGGTCAATGATCTTTAAATTACTTATTCCCCCCTGAAAAAACGTGTGTGAGTATATCTTCAGTGGCTGTAGTAGAACATGCAAATCTTTACTCATTTAAATACATGCAGAAGTTATGGGTCTTTGACAAGTAAATGGATTTAATGAAATATGCAGTTGATTGGGATTTAACAGCTGAATTTCTTAAATGGACTTCTTCCAGTTTTGGAAATGTCCATTATCAATTTTGAGGATATTTTAACTATCTGAGATATTCAGCCAACAGTGATAGCCTGGTCAGACTGCATGGATGTATAGGCTTACCTAGCTCTATACTGAAGGCAAGGGGTAATCATCTTCGGTCCCTGGACGTTAGGGGTTAAATCATAAGTAATCCTTAAACATTAACATGTCAATGACCCTTCACTTATTTTATTTTCCTAAACCTAAAAGAATATGAAGTGAAAGAAAATATTTACAATGAACAGACTTTTAGACGTACTTGGATAAAAACTAACAGAACCGGATGTTATATGCTCTGATTGCAATCTATTACAATTTATCAATAGTAAATGCTTTCATCTTACTTTATTGTTATGTCAAGCAAATCCGTTCAATAAATACCACATCAGGATTAGGGCCAAACTTGTTTGTAACAATCATTCATAAACATTTAAGAAGATTTAAGCAATAATGTTTATCATTATATTTACATCTATATTTTATTCAATATAAAGCAAACTGGTTAAGGAGTAACATTCAGTCATATGTAATTTCCGAAAAAATGGCCGAAATGCAGTATGGAATAGTAGTCTTTTCTTTATTCTCAACCAGTTTGCTTTATATTGAATAAAATATACATGTATAAAGCTATATTTTTGTTTTTTTTTTAATTATGAAACAGAATACTTCAAAAATACCTGTATAAAAAAAATATGTTTGCATTTTTCTTTTTTTTGTGTATAACACATGCAAGAAATCATTTCTAAACCATTTAAGACTACATAAAATAAAAAATAGCCGCATAATATTTTGTTCCAGAACATTTTATTCTATTTACGTACAATATTAATGCATGAAATAATTTTTATGTAAAAAACTTTTTTGACAGTTGAACATTATATCATGGGAACTGCATAATTTTACTGTATAATAAGACGCTAAATATATTTCAGAAGATATAGGTTTATACCCTTTACAGAAAATATACTATGTAACAATGAAAATGAAAAGTTTGTGCCTATGTATGTTTAAATTCTATTAAAAGGCTCACTGCAAACATAATCTATAGCTAAACTTTACTATGATATATCACACATGATAAAAAATGCATGAGAAAACATTGACTATACATTGTCAAGTGAGTGCGGATATCGCCACCAACAAACTTGGCGTAACCTATCTTTACAATATTTGTCGATAATTTGACTTGTTAAGCTGCCAAATAAAATAATTACAGTGATATTATCTAGTCAGTGTAGAGATTTTTTATAAAATATTTTTACCCTCGATTGTTTTCCAAACAAATATAATGATTTATATGCATAATGATTTGAATCAGGAATTTTATATTGGCACTTAACGAAGGTGTTATCTACTAGCCTTTGCCAATAAACAATCTAAATCAGTGCTTAATATATTTATAACATCTCTTAAATTAATATTACAGACCAAATATGGCAATGACACCCAAAACTTATTAGTTGTCAATGGATCGGTGCAAAACCGACGTAACTGCTTCATTATGTAATATGAGTTATCACTGTGTCGCATCAAACCTTTGATTTAGTATGCCTATTTAAGCTGTTATTTAAAAAAAAAAAACAAGAAAAAAACAAAAAACAATCGTAATGTCAAATGCCTATAAATTTTGAATATTTTTAATTCAGATGAAGTGTCAATATTTTCTCATTCATTTTTTCCTACTCCTATTGTTTGAATTCAGTAGTAAGCAATTCAATATTGACTTTTATACTTCAACATGTCAGCATACCTTCTTGAGGGAGTCCGAATCCCACAATGGCGGCAATGCCGCAGCACACTTCCTGTGATGACTGACCACAAAGCTGTTCCTCACAGAGAATAATAGTTGATTCAAGATCTGGACGATTGGTGGTTTCGTCTGCCGTCATACGACCCAACAGTTCCCGTAACTCTGCAGATATAGCCTCCTGTGATTGGTCAACATTGTATTCTGCTGCGTACAGTAAGGTCATTCCCAAGGAGAACAGATGTGCCTGGAAAAGAAAGAAACACTGAGTTAAGTTTAGCTATAATATTCATATAGAAGTCTCTTAAAGTGTTAAATGTTGCATATTTACAGGTTGCAAAAAATGCCTTCAATCTTGAATAATTGGTTTTAATCTGCAATCTGAAGCAAGTTTTAAAATATAAAATACTCCTCTATAAACATATTTAAATGCACTTAAGTAAAATCACATTTTACCACAAAATAATGTGTAGTAGTGGTTGTGGTGACGGTAGTTTAACCTACGGTAGTTTAACCTACGGATCATGGCAGTGAGCCACTTTGGATTCACCAGAGCACAGTTTTGTGAGCCATCACATCTTTCCTGGGCAGGCAGTCAGTACTATATAATTCAAAGTACCTGGTGGATCTGGATTCCTTTCATGTTGAGGGGTAGTTGGTATGTGATGAGAAAACAATGATCTCTAGCCAGATTTCTAATAATATGTTAACCTTTGGTACTTACAAATGGGCTCTGACTTTTTATATACATTTACAACAAGTATCATGATATTTAAACATTCTTTATAAAGACTGGGCAAATTATGAAGACAGGATCTTGAAAGTCAAAACCTTTCACTATAAATTCTAACAGAATACTCTTAAAGCAATATAGGAAAAAAGGCCATAATTATGTTTAAATACCAGAGCTACTGCACTTTACTTAACCCTCTATATCATTTAAAAAAATCATATACATGCATAAGTATTTGTTTTTTTACCAGGAAATCTGATTAAATTATTATTTTTCACTGACTACTCATAGTGAACTTTGAAATCTTTAAAAAAAAATCAAACAAAAAATATATTTCATAACAATAGTAAAATGAAATGAATTTGATCTAATTACCTTTGATCTGCATTGTTTCGAATCAAAACAAAATCACAATGTAATACCAATCAAACAAGAAAACGCCTCATTTTATTATCTGTTCACAGTTTTTAAAACCTATCAAATTTAAACTAAACATGGGTCATGTTAGTACCAAAATGCAATAGAACACTCTTAAGTTTTAACTGCGTCATAATTTCATATTTTGTGTTTGTCACTACTTCGGTGTAAAGGTTAATTATGAACAGGAAAAATGGACGAGTAATTATCTTAACAGATTTTATTACAACATTTTTCTGTATGTTCTTACAGTCGTGACTGTTTATCTAATTAGCTATTGTGCATTCCATGATTGAATAATGCAGTTTTAAACATTACAATGCTTGAACCAAGGTTGACCAGTCCTTGCAGCCAGTTTACAGCAAGACCGACCTGTGCAAAATTTATGTCATGAAGTTTCTGACCAAGGTCTATGGAACTTTTTGCTGTCCTAAATCATCAAATTCTTATCCTGAAATCTTGATATCCATAAAGTTGATAATGGATAGTTCTAACAAGAGGGCCATGATGGCCCTGAGGTCGCTCACCTGTATATAGCCCCCCCCCCCTCCACCCATAAGAAGATGTTTCATGCTAAACATCTAAGCTCTAGCTCATTGGGCTTTTTAAAAGAAGATTTTTTTAAGTTTTTACTATACACATATAGTTAAAAACAATGACACCCCTGGGGCGGGGCCGGTTTTGACCCCAGGGCTTTTATTTGAACAAACTTTGTAGACACTCACTAGAAGATGTTTCATGCTTAATATCTAAACTCTAGCTATTTGGGTTTTTTCAAAGAAGATTTTTTAAATTTTTGCTATACACATATAAGGAAAATCAATGACCCCCGGGGCGGGGCCAATTTTGACCCCAGGGCTTTTATTTGAACAAACTTGGTAGACACTCATTAGAACATGTTTCATGCTAAATATCTTAGCTCTAGCTCTTTGAGTTCTTTAAAAGAAGATTTTTTAAGTTTTTACTATATGCATATAGGGAAAATCAATGACCCCCTGGGGCGGGGCCAATTTTGACCCCAGGGCTTTTATTTGAACAAACTTGGTAGACACCCATAAGAAGATGTTTCTTGCTAAACATCTAAGCTCTTGCTCATTGGGCTTTTTAAAAGAAGATTTTTTAAAGTTTTTACTATACACATATAGTTAAAAACAATGACACCCCTGGGGTGGGGCCAGTTTTAAACCCAGGGTTTTTATTTGAACAAACTTTGTAGACACTTACTAGAAGATGTTTCATGCTTAATATCTAAACTCTAGCTATTGGGTTTTTTCAAAGAAGATTTTAAGTTTTGGCTATACACATATAAGGAAAATCAATGACCCCCAGGGTGGGCCAATTTTGACCCCAGGGCTTTTATTTGAACAAACTTTGTAGACACTCACTAGAAGATGTTTCATGCTTTATATCTAAACTCTAGCTATTTGGGTTTTTTCAGAGAAATTTTTTTAAGTTTTTGCTATACACATATAAGGAAAATCAATGACCCCCGGGGCGGGGGCAATTTTAACCCCAGGGCTTTTATTTGAACAAACTTGGTAGACACCTATTAGAACATGTTTGATGCTAAATATCTAAGCTCTAGCTCTTTGAGTTTTTTAAAAGAAGATTTTTTAAGTTTTTACTATATGCATATAGGGGAAATCAATGACCCCCTGGGGCGGGGCCAATTTTGACCCCAGGGCTTTTATTTGAACAAACTTGGTAGACACTCATTAGAACATGTTTCATGCTAAATATCTTAGCTCTAGCTCTTTGGGTTCTTTAAAAGAAGATTTTTTAAGTTTTTACTATATGCATATAGGGAAAATCAATGACCCCCTGGGGCGGGGCCAATTTTGACCCCAGGGCTTTTATTTGAACAAACTTGGTAGACACTCACTAGAAGATGTTTCATGCCAAATATCTAAGCTCTAGCTCTTAGGGTTTTTTAAAAGAAGATATTTAAAGTTTTTTCTTTCGGTTGCCATGGCAACCAGAGTTCTGCATGGAATTAAATTCTTTGAACAATTTTTAAAGGTGACCACCAAAGGAACATTCCTGTGAAGTTTGGATGAAATTGGCCTAGTGGTTTATGAGGAGATGTCATTTAAAGTAAAAGTTTACGGACGACGGACGGACGACGGACGGACGACGGACGGACGATGGACGCCGGACGAAAAGCGATCACAAAAGCTCACCCTGTCACTTTGTGACAGGTGAGCTAAAAAACTAGAGCTGAAAATTAAGTGAGGGTAAAGATTAACTTAGAGATCTTTTTAATTTGATTTATTCAGATGTTACATTGTTTGTGATTAAAACATTTATTTAATTTTACATTTAAACTTTTTTTTAATTCTCCAACCTTGGATAATATTCTGGTATCTCATTAATTGGTTAACAAACAAGTGAGGCAGATCATGTGACGTAGCCAGTATTCAAACCCATGACCCCCTAGATGTGCCCACTGATCATGGTCTGCTTTGTTTCCTATTCAGTCAGTGATTCTTTTGAAATTTTCTCTATATGATCAATGTTTTGCCCAAATTTGAAAGATGGACAAGTCAGGTTAGGTTATTTATAGCATGCCAAAGGTTAAAATCAATTATATGCTGCATAGTTAATAAGTAAAATATGTAATCTTGAAATATTTTGAAAAATATTTATCATAAAATCTCTATTCCTTGTCAGCATAGAAAAGGAGCAATTAAATGGTGTAATCAAGTTTAAAGATCGCAATTTTTATGTATTTATTACCCCTTTTCTGCTTGTAGAGTGACACCCAACAATGCTTCAAATTTATTGCTATAACCCCAGTTTATCAAATTCTATAACAATCTTAACACTTAAAAATTACTTATAAAGGCACCCTCAACATTAAAATGTAAATGGCAACCACAGATGTAGACTGTGTGCCTTAAATAATTACTGGAAAACATCAAAGTGTCAAAGGCCACTTAAAATGTTAAGCAATTCACCTTAAAAGTTGAATGAATACTTTGTCATAAAAAGAAAGTTCAAAAATTACAAAGTAGTAGCACAATATGTTAAGCATACTTTATAAACAACCCGAGATCCATCTCAAACTTGTTGATCTTTGGAGTTTGCCTCCAGGTCTGACAATTATCAATGAAATGAAATATTTTCCGTATTTTTTTCTCTTCTTCTTTTTTGCAGTAATGGAAAACATATTTTGTTTCATGTTTAACTAGAACATCGGTAGGATCAGTGTCACTTAGACAAAGCTACGTCACTGGTAAAGTAAGAATTTTTTTTACAAAATTAATCTATTACTCTCAATGGCCTTGACCCATGCAATCTATAATCCCATCCTAGGATAAAGGGCCATTGATGGTCCCAGCACACAAAACATCTTAGAAATTTATATTTTAACCCTTAACTTGCTGAATTTCTTAAAAAGAGAAGCCAAACACATTTATATTTAGCTGTAATTTTATCCATTTTTTTTGGATTTCAGGGTTAAAAGTTAGCCAGCCAACAGAGTAAAACCTGGTCATGCAGACTGCATGAATGAATGCACGGACAGACATACCAACATTTAGGGTATTACGATTTTTCTTTGACCTTTATGTGGCATTTCTCAATATTATCCAGTGAATATTTCCAGAGGGTTTTGGGAAAATTATGGATAGAATGAAACTCAAACCATGCATGTTTGTCCAGACGGACAATTGCACCTGAAATGGAATAAGGGGCCATTTCTATTTTTATTATATTTTGTTAAATAAAGGGTCATTGGCCCCTTATTCTATTGTTAAACTAGAAATGTGTCCATAGGGCACGGATGCCCCCACACGCCACTGTTCTGTCAATCTTATGACTCTAGGTCAAAATATTTTTTGGGCTACATGTGCCACAAGTTGAAAACTAAAAATCAACAAAGGGCCATAATTCTGTTAAATTTGGTCGCAGCAAAAATTCCCTCCTTTAATACCATCTACACATTAAGGTTGTTAATCCCTGGAAGTTTAAGCAAAATCTTCCATCCGGTTTAAGAGGAGTTGCGTTCACAAAATTTCTACATGGTATATAATGAAAAAATCAACAAAGGGCCATAATTCTGTTAAATTTGGTTGCAGCAAAAATTCCTTCCTTTACTGCCATCTACACATTAAGGTTGTTAATCCCTGTAAGTTTAAGCAAAATCTGCCATTGGGTTTAAGAGGAGTTGCATTCACAAAATTTCTACATAGTATATAGTGAAAAAATCAACAAAGGGCCATAATTCTGTAAAATTTGGTTGCAGCAAAAATTCCTTCCTTTACTACCATCTACACATTAAGGTTGTTCATCCCTGTAAGTTTAAGCAAAATCTGCCATCCGGTTTAAGAGGAGTTGCGTTCACAAAATTTCTACATAGTTTATACGAGGGGTGTCCCAGAATTACGTGGATTTTTGCTATAACTTTTTTATTTTTTAATGCATTTTTTAGCAAATTTGTACACAATACCTTTAACATATCCTTAATGAATATGTCCATTATTTTTAAATTTCTAACATTGCTTCTCTATATTTTACGTCGCTATAGTAACGCAGTATGCGCAGGGCGGGGCAGTCCAATATTTTGTATTAATAAATTGTCTTTACTTTCGTATATCTTGCGTATTTATACGTAAAAAATGGCGCGACGTCGTCAGCATATGCAGTGACGACATATGAACGTTCGTTTGAAATTTTGACGTCATAGCTGTTTTCCGTTATGTTTACCAGCGGACAACTGGACAACCGTTGCTCTTGGATATTTAACAAAAAATGACGTCCATGGATATTACGCTGAACATCGGACTATCATCAAGTTTTGTGTTAATCTTGGGAAGACGCCAACACAGACGCAGGAAATGTTGGAGACTGCAAAAGTGAGACCTCCTGTTTGTCGATCACTCGTTTTCAAGTGGCATAAGCGTTTTCGAGACGGCCGAGAGAACATTGAAGACAACAAGGGTCTTGTGAGAAAGTCATTGTTGACTACGGCGTCAATTGAGGAAGTCAAGGGACGTCATAGATCGGGACAGGCGTTACACCAAGGTCAATGCTGAGTACTATTTAAGGGTAGGCAATAATTTTGTGTTTAAAGAAAATGATTTTTAAAAATTAAGCTACCGTATAAGTGTTTTTTTCTGCGATGACTTTATTTCTGCGTTTTCTGCGGTCAGTTTCGGCACCGCAGAAATAAAAACCGCAGAATATTTCTCTTACCTGCTACGATATGTATCCTTCATTGTGACCTGTTTCGTCTAAAGTAATAACGACAAACAGATTATAACGGTTAGCGAGTTTTCAAGTTGTATAAAATTGCTGTCGGCTAATTGTATGTAATGTGTGTTTGTAAGGATGTACTTATTGTTAATTATGCTAATTTAAGAATAAAGATATTTTAAACCATTCCAACCCTTATACTGCTAAATAATCGTTGTTTACTTTAATTGTCATCTAATACGATACGGTAAACTTATGTCATTTTCATTTAATTAAAGATCATACTACCGGGGTATATTTTTCACACGTTACTTCACGCTGATCAAAGATGTATACCTTTCTATTGTTGCGCATCATATTTGTTTGCAAGCAAACAATATAATTGTTTGTAATTACTATAAAGTTTTGCAGTGACGACGACAAACAAATGCGAACGTGTACATGCAAATATAATAGATAGGGTAATGTGACTTAGACTTTGATAAGACGAGTCGCAGAATTTAAATCATGTTTTGTCCAAAGAATGTCCCGCAGAAATAAAGTCCGCAGAAATAAAAACATGCCAAAATTTTGAAAAACCGCAGAATTTGGAGCCCGCAGAAAAAACCACTTATACGGTAATCACAAGTTATTATTTTAAACGCAATTTATCCGCTTCAGCTTTTAAGAAAGTGAACTTCAAACTGCTTATAGTAAGGCAGTGCGCATGATAGGTTATTTCCCTTTTAACGCACATTGTCTTGCGTACAAAATAAACTCCAACAATAATAATAATAATAATAATAATAATAATAATAATAATAATAATAATAATAATAAAAAATAATAATAATAATAATAGAAATAATAATGACAAATAATAATAATAATAATAATAATAAAATTATTTATAATAATAATATTAATAATAATAATAATAATACAGCGGTCAGCATTATCACCGTCGTCTTTAACACTATTATCGTAACAAAAGTTAATAGTATGCTTTATTATTATTATACAGGGCGGCGTACGACCAGTGGATATATCGACACCATAGTGTATTGAGTTAGGCGGCGACTATGTTGAGAAAAAAACTGACATTCGACGCCACACATTTATTAACAAACTAGCGACCCACCGGAATGACGTCATAACGTCGGAATGGACGGCCCCGCACCAGCTACCCCTTGTCTCATTACCCTGCCCACAGACAATGATCCAGTTGCCGGGCAACTTTGAAATTTTTTGTACTAATGCAATAAGGTTGCATTTTGTTCATGTTAATTTTGTTTGTTTTTATTTTCAGTAGTTTTTGAGTTACAGCAAAAGTCCACGTAATTCTGGGACACCCCTCATAGTGAAAAAATCAACAAAGGGCCATAATTCTGTTAAATTTGGTCGCAGCAAAAATTCCTTCCTTTACTACCATCTACACATTAAGGTTGTTCATCCCTGTAAGTTTAAGCAAAATCTGCCATCCGGTTTAAGAGGAGTTGCGTTCACAAAATTTCTATATAGTATCTAGTAAAAAAATCAACAAAGGGCCATAATTCTGTTAAATTTGGTCGCAGCGAAAATTCCTTCCTTTACTACCATCTACACATTAAGGTTGTTCATTCCCTTGTAAGTTTAAGCAAAATTGCCCCGGTTTAAGAGGAGTTTGCGTTCACAAATTTCTATATAGTATCTAGTAAAAAAATCAACAAAGGGCCATAATTCTGTTAAATTTGGTCGCAGCGAAAATTCCTTCCTTTACTACCATCTACACATTAAGGTTATTCATCCCTGTAAGTTTAAGCAAAATCTGCCATCCGGTTTAAGAGGAGTTGCGTTCACAAGATTTCCGGACGGACTGACGGACGGACGGACAAGTGCAACGCTATATGCACCCACATTGTGGGGGCATAAAAATGAAATCTATTGTTCTCTTTTGTTCTGTTTACATTTAGGTGGCTCCCTTCCCTATTTGGTAGTTCAGACAGACAGAAGATAAACCCGAAACTGTAAGTTGCACCGAATGATCTTGAGGAAGCTTAACTCAGACGATTGACATGTTAAACAGTAACAATAACTGAAAAATTTGTAAAATTAACTGAGTGCCAACAATATTCAATATTGTAATGGAGAATACCTTGTAAGTGTTTCCGTTTGTGCTGTACTCAGGTGACAGGTAAATTGGTTCTGGATCTGGAAATACAAGAAAAACATTGATTTATAAATCAATTAAACAGTTCATTATGATAACAGGTGCTACAAGTTGAACAACAATGGAAAATCTTTGAAAGGCATTAAATAACTATTTTGCACCCCCTGCATGACCTTATCTTGGTATTGCAAAAAGTTGTTAGTCTTTCCCATATGAGCCACTAGGCCAGGCTGCTCATCAATCCAGTCTACTAAGATAAAGCTATACAATACTGCTAATTATGAACTTCAAATTTTCATCCATATATTACAAAAATTGATAATATACAGTTCCAGATGATGGGACAAAATTCAGCTTTTCTGCAAAATAAGGGATGCTTTTAGTCATGAACATAAATTAATACATTAACTTCCTAATAAAGAAAACCTGCGTCCTTCAACAGAAATACAATAAGGATATTGTATACACTATGAATTATTTATTCAAACCAGAGACATTTCTTTCAATATGACTTTTCCATTGGCATATTTTGTGTGTGATATTTAGTGAAAGTAATCTATTGCTACATCATTTTGATTCTTAT